GTGTGTAATTCAGTAAACATAATGTCTTTAAATAGCTTATAGTGTTAATTAAAGCAAGTATTTACAAACTATCTTCCTGTGTTCCATCTGCAATTTACCATACAAGATGTGCTAAGATAGGCTATAGATCGCAATAATTGAAATAATAATTCACAAACTATCTCCCTGTGTCCCATCTGTAACGTACCATACAAGATGTGATAGGCTATAGATCGCAATAATTGAAATAACAATTCACAAACTATCTTCCTGTGTCCCATCTGTAATGTATCATACAAGATGTGAAAAGATAGGCTATAAGGTTAGTTGTGTATCCTTTACAGGACGTTGCAGAACTAACCCCAACAGCCCCTGGCTGTTGTGTGGTTTTTCTAGGCAAATTTACGTCCAGTAGTTTGCCACTGCTCACTGGACAGTCGGCTTTCTTGATACCACTGTTGAAACCAACGCAAGGCGCATGGCCCCCAGCTGGGATCGAACCCGGCATCCCGGCATTCTAAAGCGATCGCATCGACTTAGCCACTGAGCCGACACAGATAGGCTATAGATGGCAATAATTTAAATAACCATTCACAAACGATCTCCCTGTGTCCATTCTGTAATTTACCATACAAGATGTGAAAATATGGGCTATAGATCGCAATGATTATGATAACCATTCACAAACTATTTACCTATGTCAGTTCCTGGGCCCTAGGAACAATACACCCACAGCCCCCTAACAATCGGTTCCTGGGCCCTAGGAACAATACACCCACAGCCCCCTAACAATCAGTTCCTGGGCCCTAGGAACAATACACCCACAGCCCCCTAACAATCGGTTCCTGGGCCCTAGGAACAATACACCCACAGCTCCCTAACAATCGGTTCCTGGGCCCTAGGAACAATACACCCACAGCCTCCTGACAATCAGTTCCTGGGCCCTAGGAACAATACACCCACAGCCCCCTAACAATCGGTTCCTGGGCCCTAGGAACAATACACCCACAGCCCCCTAACAATCGGTTCCTGGGCCCTAGTAACAATACACCCACAGCCCCCTAACAATCAGTTCCTGGGCCCTAGGAACAATACACCCACAGCCCCCTAACAATCAGTTCCTGGGCCCTAGGAACAATACACCCACAGCCCCCTAACAATCGGTTCCTGGGCCCTAGTAACAATACACCCACAGCCCCCTAACAATCAGTTCCTGGGCCCTAGGAACAATACACCCACAGCCCCCTAACAATCAGTTCCTGGGCCCTAGGAACAATACACCCACAGCCCCCTGACAATCGGTTCCTGGGCCCTAGGAACAATATACCCACAGCCCCCTAACAATCGGTCCCTGGGCCCTAGGAACAATATACCCACAGCCCCCTAACAATCAGTTCCTGGGCCCTAGTAACAATACACCCACAGCCCCCTAACAATCGGTTCCTGGGCCCTAGGAACAATACACCCACAGCCCTCTAACAATCAGTTCCTGGGCCCTAGGAAAAATACACCCACAGCCCCCTGACAATCGGTTCCTGGGCCCTAGGAACAATATACCCACAGCCCCCTAACAATCGGTTCCTGGGCCCTAGTAACAATACACCAACAGCCCCCTAACAATCGGTTCCTGGGCCCTAGTAACAATATACCCACAGCCCCCTAACAATCCGTTCCTGGGCCCTAGGAACAATACACCCACAGCCCCCTAACAATCAGTTCCTGGGCCCTAGGAACAAATACACCCCACAGCCCCCTAACAATCAGTTCCTGGGCCCTAGGAACAATACACCCACAGCCCCCTAACAATCGGTTCCTGGGCCCTAGTAACAATACACCCACAGCCCCCTAACAATCAGTTCCTGGGCCTAGGAACAATACACCCACAGCCCCCTAACAATCAGTTCCTGGGCCCTAGGAACAATACACCCACAGCCCCCTAACAATCAGTTCCTGGGCCCTAGGAACAATACACCCACAGCCCCCTAACAATCGGTTCCAGGGCCCTAGTAACAATACACCAACAGCCCCCTAACAATCGGTTCCTGGGCCTTAGTAACAATACACCCACAGCCCCCTAACAATTGGTTCCTGGGCCCTAGGAACAATACACTCACAGCCCCCTAACAATCGGTTCCTGGTCCCTTGGAACAATATACCCACAGCCCCCTAACAATCAATTCCTGGGCCCTAGGAACAATACACCCACAGCCCCCTAACAATCAGTTCCTGGGCCCTAGGAACAATACACCCACAGCCCCCTAACAATCGGTTCCTGGTCCCTTGGAACAATATACCCACAGCCCCCTAACAATCAATTCCTGGGCCCTAGGAACAATACACCCACAGCCCCCTAACAATCGGTTCCTGGGCCCTAGGAACAATACACCCACAGCCCCCCTAACAATCAGTTCCTGGGCCCTAGGAACAATACACCAACAGCCCCCTAACAATCGGTTCCTGGGCCCTAGTAACAATACACCCACAGCCCCCTAACAATTGGTTCCTGGGCCCTAGGAACAATACACCCACAGCCCCCTAACAATCGGTTCCTGGTCCCTTGGAACAATATACCCACAGCCCCCTAACAATCAATTCCTGGGCCCTAGGAACAATACACCCACAGCCCCCTAACAATCAGTTCCTGGGCCCTAGGAACAATACACCCACAGCCCCCTAACAATCGGTTCCTGGGCCCTAGTAACAATATACCCACAGCCCCCTAACAGTCGGTTCCTGGGCTCTAGGAACAATACACCCACAGCTCCCTAACAATCGGTTCCTGGGCCCTAGTAACAATACACCAACAGCCCCCTAACAATCGGTTCCTGGGCCCTAGTAACAATATACCCACAGCCCCCTAACAGTCGGTTCCTGGGCTCTAGGAACAATACACCCACAGCTCCCTAACAATCGGTTCCTGGGCCCTAGGAACAATACACCCACAGCCCACTATCAATTATGTGGTGAAAGGTGACTAGTTAAAGAGCTGAAATCGGATGTGTTTAGCTAAAAGGCAGATACTGAAGTCCAGCTGAACACCACAATAGAAAGTTCCAACCACCTTTTTTTTTTAAAGGGTTAATGAAGAAAAAACTTCATACTAGTCATCTCAGTCAAAAAAGACAAAATATCACTGGCTTAGACTAACAGAAAGCTAAAGAAGAAAGTCAGACAGTCAGTGAACCACTACCAGTGTGAGGATGAAGGTAGCAGCTGTCACAAGGGCACTCACATGGCTGGCAGAACAGAAGACAACTCCCACATTGACAATGACAATCTCAATGAGCATGCTCAGGAAGTTCCAAACTGGCAAACTCTGACTAGAATTGGCTGACAGCATCAAGAAGACTTGCTTCAAAAATCTATCTGGCTGTATGTACCAGGTTATGCCAAGGTGAAAGAAAATGAAAGCGCTGACAGACTTGCTGTGTCTGTAATTAGTGGAAGAAGAAATATGGACAGGGCAAACATACTGAAAAGGGGCATGCGTGGTCTCGAGGTATGGCATCCACCTCGAGTGCTGGAGGTCATTGGTTCAAACCCCAGTGAAGGCTGGGATTTTTTCCCGTGAACATTTAGTAATTTCCCCTGGTCTCTGGATAGTAAGCTCGGACACCCGTGTGTATTGTTGCGCAAGTAAAAAAATCACTTGACAGTTGGAAATCGAAAAGAGTAGCCTAACGGTTCTGCCTGGGCAAAGTTTAGAGTTAAAAATCTACCTAAAATATTCCAGGATCCTCGCCGGTGCTATGAAGTTTGTGCACTGCACTGAGATTCTTCTGACTCAGACTTGAGTTAGAAGTAGAATTGATCACTTAAGGATTTACACCCGTGTGCCATGATGTTGACCCCTCGACTAAACTAAACTAAACTTAACTAAACTGAATGCGCTGTGTCCCAGAGATGTTGAGACAAAGGAATCAGAGACAATGAACCGCCTGCTGGAAATGGTTATCAAACAAGGACAAACAAGCAGAAACCAGCTGTGGGGCGAAGAAAGAAGATTGCTAATCAACAACCTATTCATGCATTGTCCTCCAATGCAGCAGCCAAGTCAGAGTCTATTTGCTCCCTGTACCCAGTAGGAGCTAACTGGCTCAGCATCCCTCTCCTAAATAATGTGGGACTGCTTCAGGAGCTTGAGCCCTTAGGTTCTGTCTGAAGTTATGTGAAACTCCAGTTCCAGTCTAGAAAAAAAACCGCACACAAACTCGACCATATTCATCCTGCTGTTAGCATCGAGCTGCCAGCAGTCTCTGGTTAAATTTGCGATCTTTGTTTATTTTGTATGGCTAAGATTGTGGTATGTGGGTGAGCTCTCTGGCTTTACGTTTCTATGTTCCAATACAGAACTGGCGTTATCAGTCGCCAAATGCTGAGGGATATAATAAAGATGGGATCCGAGCACTTATGGACCTTCATTAACTAACTAACTGTCAATAAAATAACTAATTAGGGTCAAAAGATTCCAGGAACTGACACATTAGAGGAAATCATTAGATTAACTAACTAACTAACTAACTGTCGATAAACTAACTAATTAGGGTCAAAAGATTCCAGGAACTGTCGCATTAGAGGAAATTGTTAGATTAACTAACTAACTAACTAACTGTCGATAAACTAACTAATTAGGGTCAAAAGATTCCAGGAACTGTCGCATTAGAGGAAATTGTTAGATTAACTAACTAACTGTATTATTGAATACAAGTTGTTAAAGGAAGTATAGTATCAGTGACCTCATTCTGTCTGTAGAAGTCCTCCGTAAAATGACAGGTCAGCTACAGTCCTTTGGGTGGTCACCTTATAGAGGTCCTGCTGTAAGTGGTTCTGTCTCGTTTGCAATATCTCAGCTCATCACTATGTGTATCTATTTTTGAATTTGTTCTGCTATGGTTTCCCAGCTGTCATTCTGTTCAACTAATGTAGGTTGACTACCACCTATATTTAAATATGTCCCAAAATAGAAACAGTGGAAAAAAAAAACACTTAGGAAAGCAAAACAGAACAATCATTCAACTTACCTTCTCTCATGCGGACACAGTTTGGCCCACCTTCCATAACTGGAGTCTCAATCATTGCGTCCTCCAGCGTCTTCCTGAGCCGGTCATCTTCCTCTTCACTACCATGAGGCTGACGAGTGATATTGGACTCAGTCCACTCACTGTACACATCACTCAACACAGGTGACTGCTCGTAACTTCCTGAAGACAGTTATTATAATTACTGATAATGACTGACTGCTCGTAACTTCCTGAAGACAATAATTGTAATTACTGATGATGACTGACTGCTCGTAACTTCCTGAAGACAATAATTATAATTACTGATAATGACTGTAACTTCCTGAAGACAGTAAATATAAGCACTGATAATACGTGACTACTCATAACTTCATGAAAACAGTAATTAAAAGCACATATAGTGTCTGACAACTCATAACTTCCTGAAGACAGCAATTATAATTACTAATAATGTGTGACCGCTAGTAACTTTGTGAAAACATTAACTATAAGCAGTGATAAGAGATGACTGCTCATAACTTGAGACAGTAATTAACACTATTGATAAAAATGATGCGGCAAAAACAATTTCACAACATTTTAGAGCAGTTTGAGTTAAAGTCACCAAGTTTTTTACTGACAAAGTTAAGCAGAATGTTGATTATTTTTTACCTATCTTTCTCTTTCTCAAAATCCTCTTTCGAAAATAAAATGGCTAGCACATCCTGATAGGGGCCGGACTTTTTCAAAAATGATCTCGGCTCCCAGGTCGACCCAGCCTTGATTGGGTACCAGGTATGGTCCTGGGAAGTAAAGGTGGTCGGCATGATGCTGACCACATCACCCACCAAGTGCTGTTTGGTCTTTAAAAAATAGGTCTAGCCCTATATGCCCTATGTGCCTGAAAGGCATGGAAAGTGTCTTTTACTTTTAGCTATATGGTCAATCAGTCTAAAATTAGTACCGCAAATGGTAAGGGAAGTAAAATCAGCCAGTAGTATTCTGGCCACATCAACCATAGACTTGCAGTACACAAGACAGAAGGCTGTGGATAAACATGATGACCAACACCACATAGCACAGACAAGGGCTAATCAACTGAGTTTACTCAGGGGCAACAATTCTGAAAATGGCTACTGTCATGGGTCAGAGGGAAAGATAATTAATACAGTGCAGACCGTTTAAGAATACAGGAGAACAGCATAACTAGAATGTCTTTGCACTGGAACCCACAGGAGCATAGGAATAAAGGAAGGCCAAAAAAAACACATGGAAAAGAGAGCTGGAGAATGAAGTTAGAAAGATGGGGACAACAGGGGGAGAGCTCGATGTAATAGCGAAGAATAGAACGACTTGGCGTGAGTTGGTTGAGGGCCTATGCTTCATTGGGGGATAGAAAGGCAGAAGAAGAAGAAGACTGATTAAGTGCATCTCGGATTTGGCAAATTTCTCACTCACTGTTTCTTGATTGAACTCTAATCTGGATAAGAGGAATTTCTGATAAGAAGAACTATTTATTGTGTACCCAGTGAGTTCTCCTTATCAGGCGTGCACTGTACATTGCAACTGGCAAAACTGTGACCAGATTTGGCCCGCAAGCAACTCATTGAAACATCTCTTCTTCTTCTTCACATTCACTGGCTGTTAACTTTGTGGAGGACATTCTGCTTGTTTGTACATTTCTGGACATAGTTTTGTTCCAGAACTTTAGTTTTGTGTGCACATTCATTTAAAAATCTAAATCTGGCTTATTTATATGCAGACTGTTGGTTTCTCGCTACTTAGGAGGATGCACTCAAACTTTAAAGGAAACATTAACATTTAATTTATTTATTATTTCCAATATGCCGTGGCGTTTGATATGGCAAAATATTCAAGTTTCCAAGACAAGATGCGGAAGTCACTGTGGCGTTGGCGGCTAGACACTCGCTTGTGGATTGGAAGGTCGTGGGTTCTCATCCTGATGGAGCCGGACTTTTTTTCAAAAATGACCTTGACTCCCAGGTCAACCCAGCCTTGAGTGGGTAACAAGTGCAGTCCTGGGAAGTAAAGATGGCCGGCGTAATACTGACAACATCACCCACCAAGTGACGACTGGTCTATAATAGGAATAAACTCACAGGGAGCAAGTACAGCAGGGATCTACCAGTCATCAGTAGAAATTATCCTCGTTGACACGCGTTTCGGCCCACGATTCCTAGACGCATTCGGAGGTGGGCCCTGCTGAGTTCATGAAGCTCAGGGCTGGTTCCCTGCTGCACGGGATTACCGGATGGTGTTTTACTTTCGGCCAGAGACAAGATGACTTGGTGGTTTGCAGAAGGTACTGTGAGATAAGAAATCGCCGCGGCAGCCTAATTAAAGCAGTCAGCGTGCATGGACGACCGAGCGACAAGCTTACGATTGGTTTACCGGACACATGTTGGACTTTTATTAGCAGGTGGCAGAGGATCACTGGCAGACAATTCGGACACGATGGACTTTCAAGGGGTGAGAAACCCTTTTCCACTAGACACCCGGACCAGCTCACCGAGGCCCATCCCCTACGTTGTTGCGTTGCGTCCAAAGCCAGCTAGAGGCCCTTTCGGCTGCCTCTCCCAGTTTTTTGAGTGTTCGTTTCCGTTCATTACCGCGCAATCCTAGTTCTTTCACCACATTGTAGAGCGAAGTGGAAACGAGGCCTCTCGCTCCCACTTTGACGGCAAAGACCCGTACTGTGTACGACTCGTTTCTCCTCAGACCGGCTGCTAAATCATTGTACTTCTCGAGCTTGTACAAGTGATTCTCCTCCATACGCGACTCAAACGGGACAGTCAACTCAATCAGGATGAGCTGCCGTTTTTGCGCAGAGTGGAGAACTATGTCCGGTCGCAGGCCGGTTTTACAGATCAACTCGGAGTACCGTTCATAGCCTGGCAGATCAACCGCCAGTAACCAGTCCCTCGCACAGTCTAGCACAGATGGAGCGAATGCGTTTTGGTTGACCTTACCTTTTGGAACCTGCCCAGCCTTGAGGAAACGAATGGGGACGATGCTAGAACTGGCTCTGGCGTTAGCCCTCATTCTAGCCTGGTCGACAACGGCTGCTAACTCTTTTAGCACCTTGTTGTGTCGCCAGGTATATCAGCCTTGACCTAGGGCTTTCCTGCACGCGGACAGGACGTGCTCAAGAGTTTGCTTCGATTTACACAACGGGCAAGTCGGATCGTTGGTCGCAGACCATTTAACCATGTTAACACCGGACGGTAATACATCGTACGCCGAACGAACGATAAAGCTCAGTCGCAGCGGGGTCATCCGCCAGATCTCACCCCATGTGAGTACTCTTGGCAATGCGCTCTCCAGGCTGACCCAATGGCCCTGCTGCGACTGCTGGGCTGCTTTCTGGACCCGAACCTCGTTTTCGTTGTCCCTCACCGTTTGTATTACCATGTCTCGGCGCTCTTTGGCTGAGGCCTTTGACCACCAATTGACCTTCCCGTGCCCTAGGCCTCGACGGTCGGTTTGAGTGTATCCCATTATCTCTTTCAATTTTAGTGCATTCTGGGCAGATTCTATCGCATCGAGGACACTCCACTTCCGGCCAGTCTTTAGAGCGGGCTGGACAGCCATGACATTTGGGTCTGAAGACTCGCGCAATAGCCTGGCGAGTCTTACCTTGCCGACTTTAAACTCTTCGATTATTGATTTGAACGGAAGTACCAGCTTAGCCTGCTTACAATACAGAGCCACGTCGGTCAGACAAGGCGGTGCACCAATCCACTTTCTCAAGGCTGTGTTGATTTTCTTCTCCATGGTTTCCACTGCAGTCATCGTCACCTCGTAGACTAGTAGTGGCCATAGGAGCTTCAGAATCAACATGAATTGGAGACACCATACCTTGAATTTCCCGACCAGTCTGCATCGCTCGATCGCGAGCAGGCCTGTAGCCAGTGACTCGTGTATTCGCTGGACTTCCGCTCTGTCAGATAACTTCGAATCGTAAACGCGACCAAGGCTCTTCACTGGTTCCTCCAGAACCGTGGGGATCTTGTTCCTTGCCAACGTAAAATTGGTTGCCACCACCCGACCCTTATTGATTGACAGACTCCTCGACTTCTGCGGTTTGAACTGCATACCGCTCCATTGGACCACCGCGTCCAATCTTTCCAGGATCGTGCGGGCAGACTCCTCGCTGCCCGTTATAATAGTCGTGTCATCCATAAAGGCACGTAATGGTGGCATCCAGTGGTCCCCAATTTGAAGGCCCTGTCCGTAGCCGGCCGCCCCGTCTAACATGATCTGCATTGCCATGACAAACAGTATGGGTGAGATCGTACAGCCCATAGCTATCCCAATCTGCAACTCAGTCCACCTCGTGGTAAACATCGAGGTAGAGAAGCGCAAAGCGACCTTGGAGAAATATTGCTCGATCATTTGATTGATCTGTGCCGGTACGTGAAACATGCAAAGGGCTCGCCACAGTAGCCTATGGGGGACTGCCCCGTAGGCGTTGGCTAAGTCCAACCATATTACGTGCAATTGTGTTCTCTCATGCTTGGCTCTCTGGATAGCCTCCCAAATCATGGTCGCGTGTTCAAGGCACCCAGGAACGCCTGGAATACCACCCTTCTGAACACTCGTATCTATGTACTTGTTAGTCATCAGATACTGTGTGAGCCGGCGAGCCATGACCGAGAAGAATATCTTACCCTCGACATTCAACAGCGAGATGGGCCTGAATTGGGAAAGACTCTTCGAGTCCTGCTCTTTGGGAATGTAGACCCCATTTGCCTTTGACCACTCTGGACATATGTGGTTGCGGATCCACGCTTGTCTCAACAAGACGTGAAGCATTTTTAGGATTTTCGGGCAGCGCTTGTAAAACACGTACGGGACACCGTTCGGACCTAGGGCAGAATTGCCGCTGGCCTTTTTCACAACTTCCTCAACCTCAGACCAAAGGGGAGGTACCATTTTAAATGGTACCTTCGGCACCGAAGGCTGCTTGAGACCGCTAAGGATCTCTGGATTGTCATCGAGAGGCTCTCTCCTCTTTTTGTCAGAGTACATCTTGCGTAGATGTAGCTCAAGTTCTTCCTGACTGACAACCAGAGTCCCAGACTTCGGTTGCTCGAATAGACCTCGGGCAAACTGATACGGGTCCCTAAAGAATTTCTCTCGCTCCCTTTTTGTTACAGAAACACTCGGCGCGACAGAGGGCACTGTGTTTGTTCTTTAAATGCAACCAAACTTCGTACAGCCCCTCCCGTTCCCTACCTGTAGCGGCTTTGAACCGTTTTCTGACGGCATTCTTGTTTGCCCGACACTTTAGAATGTCCCTCTGCCTCCTGCTAGTATTCTGCTTGGCACCCGGCTGTGCCTTTACTACTGTCCCGAACTCGCGGGAGCAGTGTTCATATATTACATCACCAAATTTTGTAAGCTTGTCGCCTAGCGAGTTCTTGTTTAAATCATGTTTAAGTACCTCACATAATGTAGCCTCCATTTTACACCACACCACCTTCTCGCTCGCAGGTGGAAACCTGATTCTGGAATGCACTTCTTCAGAAATCATCAAAGGTGCTCCTCCGCAGTCGACGTCATGGGCCTCTCCGGGCGAGTGGGGTTCACCCTGCCCGTCATTCCCTGACGACTCAGAAACTACCACAGGAGTAGTAGTTTTGCGACAGCGTTTACTGCGTGGAGCACCCTCGCATTTCATTCTTCCGGCATGCGTTCTCAGACAGATAGCCCTATATTCCCAATATGTCTAAAGGTGTGGAAAAGGGTCCTTTACTTTACTTTACTAAGACAAGATGCTGTTTACCAGCCAATCTTCCTTGATGTTCCTATCTTTTTGGACCCCAGTATTTCTTCTTTTTTTTTCTTCCATGAAATAGCATTTCAGTTCAAAAAGACTGTATGTATGTATGTATATAGGTTTTACCCCACCAGGACAGCACACAAGCAAAAAACAACCGGTAACACAAAGTGCCACCATGCGGATCAGCAGCACCCATGGAGAGGTCCCGGAAACCCTGATCAGCCATTAAGCCATATTTCAAGCCCGGCTTTATTTAGGGTCCCCGCAAAAGACAGGAAGGGGCTTCAAAATAATGAAAAATTGCAGCCCACAAGGGGATGATGATATTACCACAAAGACGGCAAGAATAGCAAAGCTAAACTATCACCTTACTACCCCATCATGGAAGGCACAAAGGAAACATAAAAACATACCAGCTTCAATATAAAGTGGAACAGAGCTAGCACTTCTGCCGGGACTTGTGGTCCGCTCACTGGTGCTTGATCGTCTATAAGCTGGTCGTGTATTGGGCATGGCCACAGGGCTAGAACGACTTGGATGGATTCTAGCAAGTGTAAAGTGAATGATGAATGTCAGATACAGAAAATGTGTAAAGTGAATGAGAAATGTCAGATAACAGAAAATGTGTAAAGTGAATGAGAAATGTCAGATAACAGAAAAAGTGTAAAGTGAATGAGAAATGTCAGATAATAGAAAATGTGTAAAGTGAATGAGAAATGTCAGATAACAGAAAATGTGTAAAGTGAATGAGAAATGTCAGATAACAGAAAATGTGCAAAGTGAATGAAAAATGTCAGATAACAGAAAATGTGTAAAGTGAATGAGAAATATCAGATAACAGAAAATGTGTAAAGTGAATGAGAAATGTCAGATAACAGAAAATGTGTAAAGTGAATGATGAATGTCAGATAACAGAAAATGTGTAAAATGAATGTGAAATATCTGGTAAAAGTGAAGAAGTAATGTAAATGACATATGTGATGTGAATAAGAAATGCCTAACAAATAAAATGGATAAAGAGAGTGAAATGTCACCCAAAAAATGTGTAAAGTGAAGAAATTTTGTAAATAAAGTATGTGACGTGAATATAAAATGTTCAGTAAATAATATGTTTAAAGACAACAAAATATCACACAAACAGAAATGTCAAATAAATAAGTGTAAAATAAATTGTAAAAATAGAGTTGCTGTGTTATTTGTAATCCCTGAAATGCAAGCGCTGCAGGTGCTTCTTCTTAAGGAGACAATAAGATGTGATGATGGTGATATTTATGATTATCACTTTCATTTTCATCATTAACACCATCATCATAATCATTACATTTAACATCACTATCTTAAACACTACTATTACTCACCACCATCGTCATTAGAACTATATTTAACTCTTTTGAGTCCCAGGGGGTTTAGCATCAGAGGCCCAAGGGATGGTAATGCAATTTTTTAATTTTACCGGTGTAACATTAAAACAGACCATACTAATTCAATTGTCGCGCAATATGCACATATTATACATCAAAGTGACCAGGGATTGTTGAGGAATAATTACAGAATTCAGCTACAACAAATAGTTGCGTAATTAGTTAAATATTAGTATATAAATAGACAGTATGTTTACAAAAATTAGTAAAATATAAACAAATTCCACTTATCACCATGGAACTCAAGAAAAACTGGTTAAAGTATTTCCAAAATGAATCACAAATTAATATGAACCACTTAGTAAAATGTATAAGTAAAACATAAACTCTATACGTTAGATTTTGTTCCAAAGAATCTTTTGAAGCATCATGACAGAGCACCATTATTTGGTAAAGAAAACTGACTCCCAAAACAATATGTATCTTCACACAAAACGAAGTTTATATAACACTCAGTTTGCCTGTAATTTTGTAGCTAAGTTCCTAAATAATAAGGGAAATAGCATTAGAACTAACTGACACGGAAGAAAATAGTCTTTTCACTAATGTTTATTCTATTTGTGCCAGCTGACTTTGCTATCGTTGTACCTTCGCGTGAGGTACACATTAAAAACATCCCTCATCAAAGTTTGACTCTATAAATGACTGAAACAGGTCTAATTCACAATGAAATCTATCTAACTTTGGATAAATCGAATAAACACATACTTTATTTAAATCTGAGGCTTCTAAAGCCGTAAATCATGTTGGCATGCATGTAGAATACTGCATGGCGGCCATATTCTTTTTAAACAAACGCTTAGTAACTCGGTAAATCTCGCAAATATACTATATTTTCAGCTTTCAGAGCACGTTTTCAAATGAGCACACCTGATATCAGACACACAAAAACTCGAAAGGAAATTAAAATTGAGCGGTCCACGTTTTATGATCAGTCAGCAGTAAATTAAAAACCTTCGCTTGTCACGTGTTCGACCGGGCGGTAGTAACAAATTAGCGCGTAATGCATTTCCTGGGACTCAAAGAGTTAATACCATCACTATAATAATATTATGTCAGTGCCATCTTAATAGGTAAAGACATGAGAGGTACCATGCAGTAAATGCTGCACTGGAAGACTAACATTCATGAGCATACCCAATATTTAGTGACCTCAACTGTGATAGCAACATCACATAACACTGATTTTTTTGTTTAAACTTGAACACTTACTTCAAGCTTTCAGGGTCACACTCATCGGTCAAGATGTCCATCGTAGTCACCTGAGTTTCTGGACTGCTGGAAAATGTAGAAGGTGAAGTGGACGACAGAACTGTGGTTGTCTGTGGGTTCTGGTATGTTTTGAAGGAGAACTGCGGTCCCATCCACAGTCTGCGATGTGGGCCCACATGTGTGATGATCTCCACCTGAGGAAAGAACAATAGTATCTTGACTATCTTCCCCATACCACAGCAGTAGTGGGGTTAGTGTGCATGCTTGTCAAGACAATAAAAAAGTAAAGGTCCCTTTTCATGCCTTTAGATGCATCAGGCATATGGGAAGCGTACCCATATTTTTACAGACCAATCGGCACTCGGTTTGGTAATGTGGTCAGCAATACGCCAGACGTCTTTACTTTTCCAGGACAACCATCCTGGTATCCATTTTAGGCTGGGTCGACCTGCGATGCCCCATACTATGATAAAAATCAACACAGCCAGCAGTGGGTTTTGATCGTGATATGTTGGAATTACGAGTCGAACTCGCAACAATTATTTGTCAAGACAGTGGTTCTAGTTATATCCTCATAAGAAACAAGATTTTTTGCAATGAGTACTACTCTAGGGTCAACCCTTTAGTCCATAATCTACTCCTTGCTGCTAGACGTCATAGGATAACACCCCATCTTGTCCTCAGAACTATATTTAATGCCATCAGTATCATAACAATTATGTCAGTGCCATCTAAAGAGCCAAAGGCATGAATGAGTAGTACCATAGGGTGGATGCCGCATCCGAAGACTTACATTCATGAGCATACCCAATATGGAGCAGCATCCAAATTAGGGCACGCTAGGACTTCCAGCATGCTGTGATGTTGCAAGTTATCAGTCACCTTCAATTCATCTTATTCTTGGTCATCCACTTTGTTTTGGCGTTTCTACTGTCATTTTTTAAGCTGTCATTGCTGGCATTATTGTATTCATTCTCATTTAACAGCCAAACCATTTCAAATTTGCTTATCAACATCACCATGTAGCAGATTCTTTGCAGAATGTCCCTCTCATCACAATCTCCTCAAAGAAACTGAGTCTCTCATTCATAGAATAGATTACTTTTAAGAAACTACTTTTGGGACAGAAAGAGTTAAAAGAGTAACAGGTAATGTCCTGGGAAAAAAAGGTGACTGGCATACTGCTAAGAACAAAACTCAGAGAGTGACGACTAGTCTAAAACAATAGGTGCCTAGCCTCACGCATACGAATGATTCCCTGTGCGGGTTCTACGGCCTCATTTTGGGGGTAAAAGAGAACAGAGCCACTGCCACACTGACAAGCATGTTGTAACAGCTGACTTTTTAAGGATGTTGCCCTCAAAGTCAGCATACATTTGCCTGAGAGGCAAGGAACCAATAGTCTGCCTACAAATAAGTTAGTAAAGTAAAAGTAAAGGTCCCTTTTCCAAGCCTTTAGGCGTATAGGGCATATGTGGCTAGACCTATATTTTTTAATAGACCGATCGGCACAAGATGGGTGATGTGGTCAGCATAAGGCCGGCCGCCTTTACTTCCCGGGACTGCACCCGGTACCCACTCAAGGCTGGATCGACCTTGGAGTCAGGGTCATTTTTTTTTTTAAAGTCCGGCTCCGCCAGGGAGAAAACCCATGACCTTCCGATCTGCAAGCGAGCGCCTAGCCACTATGCCACGGCCTCTCCCCTACAAATAAGTTAGATTTGTATGCAAAACTCAAGTTCTGAAACAAGTTCAAAGTCCAGAAGCTGAAGAACAACCAAAACTTCCTCAGAAGTTTACAGCTGGTGAATGCAAACATAAACAAGATCTACTTGATACGCTACTTGATACGCTCCTTGTTACCCTATCTGATATGCTACTTGATACGCTATCTGATACGCTACTTGATACGCCATTGGTGAAAAAGGGTAATTCAATATACTTTAGTATTCAAATTTATTCGCAGCTGGGATAGCTACCTGTGAGACCCACTGTTCATCCAGGTCATCCTTACTGCTGTAGTCGCTAGACAGACTGTCCTTTGAGCCATACCTGGTCACTGGTCCAGGCTCCGCCATGTCTGTGGAAATGTTACATTCACCTGTCACATGTGAACTTTGCACTAAATGATGATGGTGGTGATAGGGGCGTTAAAGTAGGACAAGACAAAGTGAAACAAGACAAACTAAGACAAAGTTAGACAAGTATACATACAGTTCCTCGTGTGGGTTCTGGGGCCCCATTTTTGGGAGGGAAAATAAAGAACAAACCGACTGCCCTACTCCCCACAGCAAGCAATAACAGTTGACTAATCAGGGGTATTTCCTTCTAAGTCTGAGTGCATCTGCCTGAGAGGCGAGGAACCAACAGTCAGCTTACAGATAAGCCAGATCTGTAAAACAGATGTGCACGTGTTACAGAGTTGTCCCTATACGTTGGCCATGGCTTGAGTAAGGAAGTTACCAAAACACGGCATCATGAAGGTGTTAAGTGAACATGCTTTTGTCCAAGACCAAATACGTAGCATAGTAGCTCATAAATGATAAACAAAGTACCTGATGAATAATTGCATCACGATTGGTTGCGTAACGACGTAGGCAGAAAAGATGAATGTATTAATTTAATTTGAACAGTTCTGGCTTAGTACGAATTAATCAGACCCTTAGCAATATATAAGAATAACAACTACAACAGCAGCAACTACAACAGCAGCAACAACTGTAACACAGTATAGCAACAAGGTCAACAGATATGGCAGCTACGGTGTCCTTTAAAAATTACACAGTTCAGGAAAAGTCAGTCCATCTTCTTAAGTCCAAAGTGCTCTCTCCCTTCTCTCCTTCTGTCCTGTCACATCTCTGTGTGTTCATTTCAACTTCACTGGGAAAACCCGGCATTTATTTTGTGCGTGACTTCTGTCGCCAAGACTGTTACATTCACCCCTATCACACTTACATTCATATTTTACACTTACACTCATATTTTACACTTACACTCATATTTTACACTTACACTCATATTTTACACTTACACTCATACTTTACACTTACACTCATATTTTACACTTACACTCATACTTTACACTTACACTCATATTTTACACTTACACTCATATTTTACACTTACACTTTTACTGTATACTAACACACTCATAGACATTGACTGTAGGTACAGGACAGCATGCAAAACTGAAGTTCAGGAATATGACCAAAGTCCAGAAGGTTCTAAACCACCAGAACTGTCCACAACAATTTACAGCTGGTGAACGCTAACGAGTAGAAGAATACACTAAAACAGAAAAGATTTAACTAGAGAGCAGGGGATGGGATAGATATAAGAGACAATGCTAGCTGACAAGGCAGATGTTAATAATGATGATGATGATGAGCATCTCACACATGCAGTAACACTTACCTGAAGTATAAGTTGGATGTTGCGTCAGTATTGCACACTTACCTGAAGTATATGTTGGATGTTGGGTCAGCACTGCATCTGTAGCAATCAGCAGTGGGCTATTTGAGGCCAGAGGAGGCTTCACTTCAGAAGAAGCCCGGGATCTAGTGAAGTAAAGTGCAGGGGCAGTTTAAAGGTGAGTTTTCACTTTGAGGTTAGTGAATGCGTTTAACAACTCCATGATTCTCAAGGGGATGGTTATTTTCTCACTTTCTTTTTTTTTCCTTTGGTTCAAAACATTCATGTTGTTTTTAGACAGTAGATGGAGAGTTGCACTGTGGAAGACATTGAGGCCTTAGTGTGTAACATACTGTAGGAGAGCAGCGCGTGCACTGTAGCTAACTGTAGCTGTGTGTGTGTGTGTGTGTGTGGTGTATGTGTGTGAGAGAGAGAGAGAGAGAGAGAAAGAGAGAGAGAGAGAGAAAATGGAAAATAATTTTATTCAACTCTTTCAGTTTAAAAAAAAAAAACAAGCACCCTTTACCACACCTATCAGGTGTATTAGGAGGCCTACAGTGCTAGACTTATAGTCTACAGAACAAACGGGGCTTGGTGGATCATGCTGTCAACATCACACCAGCCATCTTTACTTCCCAAGACTTTACCTTGGACCCCTTTGAGGCTAGGTCAACCTGGGAGCCAAGGTCACACTGGGAAAAAAAAGCAAAAGCTAGCTCCATTCTGATCTGAACTTGTGACCTTCAGATCCACAGGCGGCTCCCATGCTTTCAGTCCTAGGCATGTTCTTTAACACCTTTGTTCCTAAGCAGTTATTTCATAAAGTAAGCAATGTTTGGATCTGAAGGGGTACTAATGACAACAATGAGGCAAAAGGAGTTGGAAGTAACAACTGGGGTAGAAATGGGTCCATGTTATAGTTGGACAGACAAGACCTCAACCTACAGATAAGTGATTTTTTGGTGTATACTTGTCTGTAACAATATTATTGTCCATTTGTGTCGTGTGTTGATAAATCTCTGTAGTCACAATGTTCATTTGCCACTAATGATTATGATACTGTGAAGTTGATCTCTGCTACTTCTCATCTTGACTGATATTGTTTATGGTACTGACCTCTGCAAGTTCCACTGTACAAGGCCTTTGACCTCAAGATCTACAGGGGCATCCTCAGATGCCTTGTCTGTGCCAGTGTGAAGCTTTGGTTTGGGCTCCAAGTGATACTCTGTTAGGATTCCATTCTGGTTCAGAATAAACAGGGAATCCACTGCACTTTTCTTTAGCTGGTCTGAAAATAGACATTAAAAAAGTAAAGCACCTTTTCTATGTCAGTCACTTGAGTGACCTTCAACCCCCCCAGGACCGAGCAACGAGCGATTAACACCCGGTGACACAAAGTGGTACAAGTCCCAGAAACCCTTCTAAATCGTTAATCCTAAGGACGCTGATCCTGTAATCATCGAGGGGAACAATTACTTTCCTACCTTGATGTGCGTTTGAAAAAAAAAAAGTGTTGGTTTGTCCATGTTTGCTTAGATGTTTTTTTCTCTAATTTTGAGTTCCCACATTGATTAAAGAAAACAATTTTAAAAGTGTTTGGTCACATTAAAAGATATCTTTTTCTTCTTCAGCAACCAAACAAATTTTAAAGTTTTTAGTCACATTAAAAGATATCTTCTTCTTCTTCTTCGGCAACCAGACAAATTTAAAAGTTTCTGGTCACATTAAAGGATATCTTCTTCTTCTTCAGCAACCAAACAAATTTAAAAGTTTTTGGTCACATTAAAAGATATCTTTTTCTTCTTCAGCAACCAAACAAATTTAAAAGGTTTTGGTCACATTAAAAGATATTCTTCTTCTTCTTCAGCAACCAAACAAATTTAAAAGTTTTTGGTCACATTAAAAGATATCTTTTTCTTCTTCAGCAACCAAACAAATTTAAAAGTTTTTGGTCACATTAAAAGATATTTTTCTTCTTCTTCAGCAACCAAACAAATTTAAAAGTTTTTGGTCACATTAAAAAATATCTTCTTCTGCAATTGCCCTGAGTTGAGCTGATTCAAGAACTGACATCACAGCATTCGGTTCATTTTCATAAGCGCTCTATCCCAATTTTTAGCAGCCAGCGCAGAGTTCCAATAACTATGGTGCCAGCAGTCCTCTGATTATATGTCTGTCTTGCCTTTCCTTTGAGCATCGAGCATCGGCCAGAACCCCTCGTCATTCCTCGCTGCATCACTTGCACCAGACTGTGGTGATCCACTTGCACCAGACTGTGGTGATCCACTTGCACCAGACTGTGGTAATCCACTTGCACCAGACTGTGGTGATCCACTTGCACCAGACTGTGGTGATCCACTTGCTCCAGACTGTGGTGATCCACTTGCACCAGACTATGGTGATCCACTTGCACCAGACTGTGGTGATCCACTTGCTCCTCCAAATTGCACACGTTCTCTTACAAGGCCCTACTCTCGTCTGCCTTATCATGCATCAATATTCCACCAAGTTGTGCAGAGCCAGTCAGTACGTCTGCCTGTTCATTTCCCAACACACAGGCATAACCCAGAGAAAAGATCCAGACAATGCTCCTCAATCATGACCTCTGAAGGGAAGCATGCCCTAAAAAGGGCCACAGTTATCTGCTCCTTCCAGATCAACACACCCGATTTTCAATCCATAATTAGTCACCGTCTATGACACGCGTGTAGGGGGCAGTGGGTCTATTCTTTTTTCCACCAAAATGGGGACCCCAAAACCACATTAAAAGTTATAACACTTTTATAAGAACCATACTGTAGTGAAAACTGGACAGCTATTAAGCAAAAGACAGACACTGATACAAGTGAGAGGATGACATCAAAGAAAGAATGAACAAGAATCTCAGAAAGTGTCAAACAGGGTGAGAGACCCACAGTGCTGGAGATCTACTTGTTGTAAGAGTCAACTAGCTGGCAGCTTCCTTCGAAGCCAAGTGCATCTGCCTGAGAGGAAAGGAACAAACAATTTGCATACAAAAAAGTCATGTCTGTAAAACTGATGTACACGAAACACTCAGGTTCTGGAACAAGACAAAAGTCCAGGGGTGAATGAATAACCGGAACTTTTTGCTGGAGTTTACAGCCGGTGAACACAAAGAAGTGTACACATTTATTGTTAAATGATCTATTAACTCTTTGAGTCCCAAGAAATGCATCGCACGCTGATTTGTTTCAACAGTGCTGCCCAATCGACGCGTGACAAGTGAAGGTTTTTAATCTACAACTGACTGGTAATAAAACACAGACCGCCCAATTTCTACTTCTTGGTATATTTGCGAGATTCGCCTAGTTACTAAGTGGTTCCTATTCATTTGTGATTCATTTTGGATACATTTTAACCAGTTTTTCTTGGTTGCCATGGTGGTAAGTGGAAATTTTTTTTATTTCATTTCACAAAATTTTTGTAAACATACCATCAGTTTATTTACTTATATTTTAATACTAACGCAAGTATTTGTTGTAGTTGTCTTCTTAAATTATTCCTCAACAATCCCTGGTCACTTTGATGTATAATATGTGTATATTGCGCGGCAATTGAATTAGTATGGTCTGTTTTAATGTGTTACACTTGTAAAATAAAACAAGTGCATTACTACCCATTGGGCCTATGATGCGAAACCCCTTGGGACTCAAAGAGTTAATGATCTGTTCACACCCTTAGACCTAAAGACAGTGAAATAAAAAAAAAAACTCTGTATTTTAGGAATTTCTGGAAAAAAAAAATACCCTGAAAAAGTAATAATTTTACACAGGTCATCGCAAAAATAAAAAGCTTAGTTCTATTTATGCACAACAAGATTAATTTTTCATACAAAACAAGAGGGGTAATCAGTAAACACAACCCCAGCAGAGAATTACCTGACTTACCTCTCTTTGAACAATTTATAAAGTGGCATCCACATGTGGGTTTTGGGGCCATATTGTGGGGGAAAACCAGAATAGACACACTGCCTCCTTACAAGCATGTCGTAAGAGTCGATTAACTGGGAGCTTCCTTTAAAGTCAGAATACATCTGCCTGAGAGGCAAGGAACTAACAGTCTGCATGCAAATGAGCCAGACATGTGAAATGGATGTGCACACAACACTAAATTTCTGAAGTCCAGAAGTGTAGAAACAACCATAACTTTCTGTCAGAGTTTACAGCTGGTGAATGTGAAGAAGAAGAAGAAGAAGAAGAAGAAGAAGAAAAAGAAGGTGGCAATGAAAAGTTAATGAACATCAGAATTTCTATTTTAAAAAGTCATTTGTTCCCCCCCCCCCCCCCCCCCATTTCCTCCTTCCCCAAATGCTATTGTTAATAAATGTAATCAATTCTAAAATCCTGATCCTCCTAAATGATATCAGTGCTGTAAGCTAGGCTTTTCTGTTGAAGCCACTAAAGCAAATCAGTAAAGGGATATCTATGGAGTGACCGGATCTGACCGGAAGAGCTGATTTTGTGACCACAGGGTTAAATGTTTTTTTTTGGTCATATGTAGTACAATGTTAATTGTATGAAACACTAACCATCACTGCAGCTGGTGGCGGTAAATCATCACAAATCACACATTCTGTGGCGACAGCACTAGGCATTCAGCAAACAAAACATTAGGTCCAAAGACAAATCCCCAGCACCCCCCCCCCCCCCCCCCCCCTCATAGAAACCTGGATGTTTACACAAAACTCAAAGTTCTAGGAACAAGATCAAAGCCTGGAAGTGGACGACTAACAACTAGGGCTTTCTACCAGAATTTACAGCTGGTAAATGCTAAGACAATGAAAAAGACAGCGGTAAATGGAAAAGGAGGAAGAGGAGGACAAATAAGACTATTTGAAATCCCCAATTTTTTTAAATTAACAATTAAAAGCCACATGGACATACCTCTTCTTTCTACAGCTGTAGTCCATAGTCTCTCTGTGGTAAATGCAGCACACACTTTAAACACATTGTCATGGTTTGAGCTGGATAGAGTGGGACTCCGTGGGCGAGGACTTCCTGAAGCAGTTGGGTTCAGTCCAGGAATAGACAGACCTTGTTTAAGCTGGGCCAGCGGCAACACAGATGTGGGGTGTGGGTAAGGAGGCAGACGTGGGTTTCCTGTGTTGTTCCTTAGAGCATTCTGTCGAATAAGACTCGGGTAGTTCTCCTGTGGACCTGTGAGTGAAAAACATTTCCATGGCTTTATGTAAACAAAAAGAATCAGGTCAGCAATCTTAGACTTCCTTGGTGATCAATTGGTTAATCTTAGATTTCCATTGTTGATAGGTATAGAATAACAAAAGACAATGTATTTGTCAGGGTCCTGTGTGGCTATTGGATGATTGCATATGATGATGATGAATAGTGAACTTGTGACTGAACAAAAATGATGAAAAAACGGGTTGTCCTGAGAGGGTTGTTCAGTACTGAGCTGTGAAGTTGGAGAGAGGAAGACTTCGGGACAGGACGTTGTTGTTTTGACCGTTAGATGTTTTTATGTTTCGACTGATATTAGCGCCAAGTAGCTTTGTAGTGTGTTAGCGTGATGGTAGAATGATTCATGTGTTTGTGTTAGCAAGAGGTAGGTTATTACAGGTATTCATAATAGCATAATAGTATTAACTTATGTATATAGTTAGACATTAGTGAGGCGGTCCTTGAAGAGTTCATCTGGTTACGTGACATGGTCTGTCCACTCAATCTGGCCAAAGATGTGCAGTAGCACCCGTGTTGGTCGACTGTGTTTAGGAATAGACCTTTTCTGTCATGGATCTGCCAATGAGCTTCTTGCCCAGATGGCAGTCAAGTAGGTCTCTGAACATATTTCAGTTGAAAAGACCAATATTCTACATTGACGTAAATTGTTGAAATGCGCCTGATGCGAGGAAATGAAACATACCAGATAATAAATTGTGCAATATTTTGTTTGTGTCTTTATTTAAAATGTCTCCTTTTTCAGCATTCTGAGTTCCTGGTGATCACTACTGCAGCTACCACACATTGCATTCCACAAACAATATTTATACCTCTTAGTGTCATCAGCTGTAAACTGCGGCGGAAAGTCTTGGACTCTAGCCTTATTTCAGAAATGGAATTCTGCACGCACATACGTGATACAGATCTGGCTTACTTGTATGCAGACAGATGGTTCCTCACCTCTCAGGTAGATGCACTCCATCTTTGGAGGAAAAAATCCTAATTTGTTGCCTTTTATAAGAATCACTAATGTTGAGCTGAGCTTTGGGAGAGAAGTAAACAAGTGACAGTGGACCAAGAGGTGAAGATAGGATACACGTTGAGAAAACCTGAGAATAGTATAACTAGAATGTAACACAAGATAAGAAATTAGCAAGAGAAAGGAAATTACACCTTACTACTCTCTGCAACACTTTATAGCATAAACAGTAAAACAAAACAAGAAGTCTGTATGACGTCTATACCTGAACTACCTGGGCTGCAGGAAAGAATGGGACTGTGCCTGCCTGCTGCTCCGTGCTCAATATCGTCTAATCCAGCAGATTTTTGGAATCGGCTCACTCTGTTCACAACACGTGACTGGCAATGTGTGCGGGCACACACTGGACCTACAAAATCAAAGCAATAAGACTGAATTAAATATATGATGTATTCTGTAGGCACACAAATGACATAAAAAAGCATAAACAAAGGCAAATCTGTCTTCTTCTACTTCTTGTGCACTGGCCTTAACTCTTAGAGTCCCAAGGAACACATCATACGTTCATAAGTTTCTACCTAGAAGCCTAATGAACGTATGATGCGCCGATTTTATGTCTCTCTTCACTACCCCTTGTGCCTGTGATGCTAAACACCTTGGGACTCAAAGAGTTAAAAAAAAGGGTGGTCGACATATTGTGATTTATAATTAGGCTGCAGTATCTGTCCTTCCACATCTAATGTCAGCAAAACCCTAATTAGTCCCTTTTTACAACATGCTTGTTAGTGGGCAGTAAGTCTATTTATTAAGAAAAAAAAACTGAAACAATAACACTGAATTAAACATCTGATGCCTGCCTGCTGAGATGCTGATGCGATCAGTCCCCAGAAGTCAAGTAAGTTAACAAACGACCCCTTTTTTTATGCCAGTGACACACTGAGAATATCATGTTTAACACATACTTTTACAGATCAATCACCTCTGGTGAGGGAATTGGTCAACATTACGCCAGCCCCCTTTACTTCCCGACTATCAGTTAGTACCCATTTTGGGCCAGATTAAGGCAGAATATACCAAACCTGCCATCATTACACGTGCCAACGGCTTCGGGTGGTGAAGCATACATAGAAGGATACTAGCCTTACCTCAGAAGTTTAACACCGCAGACAGAGATCAAGCTGTATGGGCTACACATGGTCTCTACAATACTGCCAGACTGTGTGCTATGGAGAGGAATAAGTTTGTCCTCTGCTTTTATTCATATCCCCATGCACTGTGATTCCCAAGCCTCACAAAGGCAGGGTAGAACACTACCATCTGGAAAGATGAAGAGGTGCCAACTAACAATACGAGAAGGCTAAACACTTCAGACGTCTTCTTCATCTGAGTGTCCACTGGCTGTAAAGAACTCTGGGAAAAAGTTCTGGTTGTCCTTCTAGACTTTGACTTTGTTCCATAACTTGTGAGTTGAAGTGGGGGAGGCTAAGGTGGAGGAGAGGAAATAAAAGGAAAAAGGGGGAGAAAAAGAAAAGGTGTGTATCAGAAGGAGATTCACACAAAAACTCGATGCTGCAGCTTTTACATATCAATTAGTTTAGTGTGGTGCTTCCACGCATGTAGTTCAGCCTCTGCTTGCTGCAATATGAAACATTTGACACAATGAGATGAGAAAATCTCAAACTGGATGGCAGACCAACAAGACCTTAAGGTGTGACACTGGGAGATTAAAATCTCTCAGTGCTAATGGTCGACCAACATGACCTGAAGGTTGACACCATGAGACTAGAGAATCTCAGTATGATGGCAGACCAACAGGACCTGAAGATTGACACCGTGAGACTAAAGAATCTCAGTGCTGATGGCAGACCAACAGAGTATGCCCAGATAACCTGTTAAACCTCAGAGAAAGTAAAAATTAGGTCACCCCTAATGGCCACACCAGCTGGTGTAACCTGCAGTCATGTGCAAAAAAAGACTGAGGTAGTTTTTCCAGATTTACCCCTGCAGATTTTCATTCTATAGGATGAACCTCTCCAGGATGAAAATCAAACAGTGACAAATACCGGGAAACCTCAATCAACCAAACTGGACAATTATAATTGGGCAGCACACAAAAGTTACAAAGTAACTGCAATCCGGTGTGCTTGGGTTGTGAGGTGGGTTTTGTACATTTATTACACTAAAGATACTCCTTAAAACTGTATAATATTCTTCATGGACATTAAATTAATCTGAAAATGTGTATATCTGGATAAGTGTTTAAAAATCTACAGAAAAGAAGAACCTATCTATGCCAGTAACACACTGAGCTTTTGATGCCAAACTGACATTTGTATAGATCAGTGGGAAGTTGGTGAATGATGTGGTCAACATCACTCTGGCACACATGTGTATCTTCTTCTTCACTTCCTCTTTTACCACTTCAAGTGTCAAGGAAGATACAAGGTTCTACTTTTTGCTCTTCTGGTCACCTCGATCAAAGACACATCATGCTATTGCAGAGTTTCCCTGATGTTATCTTTCCATCTTGGTCTTAATCCACCTCATGCTCTGTGCCCTTCCCCCCTTTGTGTGTATGCCTTGTATGGCATGACACTGGATTCTCTCTAAGTGTGCAAACCATTTGATTTGCTGTCTTTGCAAGTAATTTAGAACTAGTTCTGTGCAAACTTTTTCTTGTATAACCTTATTCCTAATTTTACAGCCCTTCTCAGACATCTCATTTCCAAGGTTACACATTTTTTTATCTGGACTGATGTGGGTGACTATGTCTGGCACTGGTAACAAAAAGCATGAATGAATATATGTGTGTAGGAGCATAGATATTTGTGCGAGTGTGAATATGCAGGAACCAATAAAGGGAGATAATCACTTACCTCCATATGGAGTTATGGGAAATACATGAGTTGTTCCCCTGTGTGTACTCACTGACACCCATCGGGTATCATTGGTAAATGCTATATCAGTAACCTGAATCAGAAAACATAGAACTTAACCCTTTTCTTTTTATTGATCTTTGGCCTTTTTACAAATGTTGTAAGCAATTCAATAGTCAAAAACAGGTATATATATATATATATATGTGAAACAGCAATAATATCTTTAGGTGACATGTGTTTTTCACCATCAGTCAGCACTAGAAATGGATGTGCCGGAGTGTCAACACCTTCGGGTGGATATACCCTGAGCCATGGTTGGGCTGTGGTCTGAACACAACAGCGTCCTCATCTGATTCCCACTATTACTACTAACACTAAATCCTGCATCAGTATCAACAGAATTAGTGTCATCACTTGATTCAAATGTTTTATCAACATCAAGTTTAGGGGCAGAAACATACGAGTCAGACATACTTTTAGCGGTTCAGATCACTATCTAAAAAATTCAACAACAATTTTCACTTCGATACCAAACACTCGAAAGTCGCCATGTGTAAAGCTGATACAGCAGTTAATATAAATGAATCACTTTCAGCGTTTCAAAGTAGGACATTTCTTAGCGGTTCGAGGCGAAACACGATCGGGCCGATCATCGGCCGTTCCGTGTTTTTGGCCAGACATCCGCCGGCCGATAATCGGCCCGTCCGTGCTAAGAGGGTTAATTTACTGAAAAGGCAAGTGAAAGTTTCCAACTTTCCCATCATCACAGTGTACATCATTTTTTTTCCTTCCCATGATATGATGAACAAACTGTAGGTTGTCTTCTTCAGTTCTCTTCAAGAGTCAATTTCTTACAAGATATTTGTTGTACTCTTGTAATCTGTCACGGTGTTCTCATCATTCATCTATTTTTTTTTTTTTTTTTTAAGCATCCAGAAACCATAAGTTGTTAACCCTTTGGCTCAGTACTATGGATATCGCAATCCTTCGGCCTTAATTCCATGATAGATACCGTAAAATCTAGGAGAAATGTTACTTTTCTGCCGACCCCCGGGCATGAACCCGCAAGAAGTCTGTCACCCGGTCGCAACTAGGCTAGCGAGCCAGGCATTATCATACCTCTATTAGGCCACATGTCTGCTCCTTCCACACAGGTTTTCCCTAAATGACCAACTGTCCATGATTTATTTCCACATAATCAGGGAGGGATTTTTTAAGCTCTTGAGAATTCTCTTTCCCACCTCAACTGATTAAAAAAAGCCGACTAACTAGCATATTCTTTATTTTGTGAAACGCCATCTTTGCTTGAGTTACTCTACATTTAACTTACTTTAATACATCTTCCAATTGCTGTTATAAGGGTACCTAAGTAAAGCAAGTAAATGACCCTTTTTAATGCATATAGGGCAAGACCTAAATTTTAAAAACCAAGAGGAACTTGGTGTGTGATGTAGTCAGCATCGAACCGGCCGCCTTTATTTCCCAGGACTGCACCTGGTACCCACTGAAGGCTGGGTCAACCTGGTAGCTAAGGTCATTTTTTGAAAAAAGTCCACCTCTGTCATGACCAGAACCCACAACCTTACCCAAGTACTCAAACGTAACTAATTGCCCTACAATCTAAATGAGGCGGCTTGGTGTGGACCCATCACCCATCAAGTTCTGTCTGGTATTATATGCCTGATGGACCAATGGTGTGAACAGAATTTTATTAGAAAAGGGAAGCAAACATAACAAAACAAAATACCTTTGCAGTTGTGTCCCCTCTGTGTAGAGTATACAAGTGATGAACAGCTCCCAAAGAAGATGAACAAGGATGGGCCACCAGGCTGAACACGTGGAAGTTGTGTCCTGTCAAACGATAATTACAATATTCAAGGTACATCCTACAGGAGTTGATGAACATTGTAATATTTATAAAATAATAGACCATTTCCACACCATGGTGCATCCGGCATATGGTAAATATTCTACAGAAGGAACAGCTATATAAATGAAGCATGCAATGTTTTAGACAAGCACTTTCTGCATGTATGAAGAGTGTAGTGTTTTTTAAAAGAACTTTCTACGTGTATGAAGAGTGTACAGACCATTCTACATGTATGAAGTGTGCAATGTTTTAGACAAGATCTTACTACATGTATGAAGTGTGCAATGTTTTAAACAATAATTTTCTACAAACTTTCTACATGTATGAAGAGTGCAATGTTTTAAACAAGAATTTTCTACAAACTTTCTACATGTATGATTCTAGGATTTGAAGAATGTTCCACAAAATATCTGACTACATGTAGAAACTGAGAAAAAGATCTTGCTACATGTAGGATTCAAGCAATGCCTCCCAAAAGATCTTACCTACATTTAGAATTTGAGCAGTCATCCAAAACGATTTTCCACATTTAAGATAAAGTGCAATGTTCACCACAAGAACTTTCTACATGTACGATGAGAGCAATGTTCCCCAATATGACATGCGACATGATGATGCTGGAACCCCATCCATGATAAACATACCTAGTTTACAAGCTGTCACCAGAAGGATCCCACTGGGGTCAAAAGCCATTGCAGCGACAGGCTCATTGGCATGAGCATGGAAATGGGCAATAAGACCTTCGACATCTGGATCTTCAGGCACATAAAACTGGAATATATAAGAAACAGACATGTCGGATCAGCACTTACAGAAAGAAGAAGAAAGATAAAAGGACTATGATGATGATGACTATGATAATGATGATAATGTTAATGATGAGCATGATCATGATGATGACCGTGATGATAATAACTGATGATGATGAGGAAAATGATTGAGGATGATGACTATAATAATGTCTATGATGATTGATGATGATGATGATGATGGTGACCATGAAGATGATGACTATGATGATGACTATGATGAGGATGATAATGATGATGATGGTGACCATGAAGATGATGACATGATGATGAATATGATGATGACTATGATGATGATGACTGATGACTGATGAGGATGGCGATGACTATGATGATGATGACTGATGATGATAATGACTGATGATGATAATGATGACTGATGATGATGACTATGATGATGATGAATATGATGATGATGACTATGATAATGACTATGATGATAATGAATATAATGATGATGACTTTGATGATGATGATTATAACTATGATGATGATAACTATGATAATGAGAATGATAAAAATGCTTATGATGATGATTCTCCTTAAAAGGGCAGTTGGCACTTTATGTTGTGGTTTACAGCTAGACTGTGACACATGAACTCTTCGGCACAAAACATCACATTTCAGCCAATCCCCAATTACTGCCTTTTATATCGTGCTTGTTACAGGGCAGTGACTCTATTCCTGTTCCCCCACAAATGAGGTCCTGAAACTCACACATGGAGGAGAAAATGATGATAAAGAGATCATATTACCTGCTCCCCACGCAAAGACTTGAGATCAACCACAGAGACAATCCCAGGACGATATCCATTTTCATCAGGAGGTGAGGGTTCTGGTTTCTTGCTCACTGGCACTGGTTTATTGCCGGTCATCCCACTGACCATGGCTTCACCAAATTTAGTCAAACCTTTGATGGCTCCCTGAGAGACATCAGAGGAACAAAATCATGTAATCGTGAGTAAAACGTCTTACTTTGAGAAAATTAGATTTTTAAAAGCTGGCCTTGGCTGCCCAAAGAGTTCATTTTCAAACCTTTATGCCTTGATGCTGATCCAGCATTTTGCAGCATGCTTTGTTCCAAATTTATTGGTATTACCTTTCCTCTGGAGTAAACAAAGCAGGTAAAAAGAGAGGTCATGATGCATAGGCAACACAGGATCTCTATAAAACTGCCCAGGCTTTGTGCTATGGAAGCACACAGGCATGTCTTGCTAGTCACACTTGAGGCTGTGTTTGCCGGGCCTCCACATAACACAATTTAACAATATCATCTGAAAAGTTGGAAAGGTGCTAATTCGTCTGGGAGTCTTCCATGAGGTAGAGCATGAAGACTGAGAGATAATATACAGGCAGACCTACAAAAAAGGGCGGAGGCATCAAAAGATAAGAGAAGGTCAGACGCAGAAATGAATTAAGGCAGGTCATATATGCATCTTTAAGAGATAGTATAGGCAGAAATAAACAACAACAGACATGCACATATACAGAGATATAAATATGATATGAATTTTTAATTTTTTTAAGTGAAGAAATAAGATTACACTGTCCAGGCATTATCAAAACACCTTGGGCCCTACCTTGGCAGCACTGATGACTGTCGCAGCATAAGACTGAGATCCATCTCCTGACATCCCTCCACATGACTGGTGAACTGGTAACAGCTGAAAGAGAAATCCACAGTAGGTGTGATTTGCATGTTATATTCAATATACCATTCTTCTTCTTTTGTCAACATCTCCTTTGTCCCACTAGGAATCACATTTAATTATTGAAAGGAGTTGAGCTAGGGCATGCTCGGTTGCTTGTTTTGCAGTGATATTGTTAAGGCTAATTTGTCTAAGGCTAATCAGTGACTCCTTCAGTCCATGTTCTTCCAGATGTATCTTTGCCTCTGGGTGTTCCATTTTCATGTTGGATGCTCTCACTGCTAAATCTTTGAATCTCATCAGGTATCAACCATTTCAGTCTTTGTGCCTCAGTAAATTTAATGATGGGTATTGTTCTAGGGCACCTGCCATTGTGCAGCAGTTAGATGCTTGTGGTTACTTGCCTCTCAGGCAGATGTACTCTGACGTTGAAGGATGTCCTCAATTAGTCGACTCCAGTGACATGCTTGTCAGGGAGGCAGTGGGTCTATTCTTGTCTTTTCCCACGATGGGGCTTGAAACCCACAGGGGGGAACAGCTACGTTATGATAAGCCCCCCCACCCCTTTTGGCCCAACACATTCAATCTGAACATTTTTTTTCCCTTGCAGGATTGCAATCTGTAGGACTAACATCTCAAAGATGAGAATCACACCGGCAGAAATTCTGGAAACTCTATTCAACTGTGCAGCCATACAGGACTGCTACACTGATGCAATATAAAAATGAAGTTTTGAGGTTTGAACAACAGACCAATATCATGGCACACAGGAGTGCTCCATTCTACTTGTAACTCAAGTCTGAGTCTGAAGAAGCTTAACACAGTGCACAGGCTCTTTAGCACCAGCGAGGATCCTGAAATACTTTGGGTAGATTTTTAACTCAAAATTTTGCCCGGGCAGCGCCGTTAGGCTACTCTTTTCGATTTCCAACTGCCAAGGGATTTTTTACGTGCGCAACAATACACACGGGCGGCCGATCTCACTACCCAGAGACCAGGGGGTATTAGTAGAAGTCCAAGTAAACGTGAAAAAATCCCAGCTCTTACTGGGGGATTGACTCCAGGACCTCTAGCACTCAAAGTAGACACCATGCCTCAAGACCATGCAGCCCTCCAGATGCAAAATAAAATGTTTACGAAGTAACCTGTAGTTAAATGTGGGCGGTTCGTGTTAATATGTAATATTTTTTCCCCTGATAAAAATGGCACCACAGAACCCACATGGGGAAACCAATTTTCTACTCTTTCAGTCCCAGAGGGTTTGGTATCAGAGGCAGAAAGGGTAGTATACAGTGACGTAAAATCTTCTTCTTCTCTTCTACCATTTACCTCAGCGAGGTGTTGGGGGAAGATGTAAGGATCGTATGTGCACTTTTTCCAATGCATTGTACAAGTTGGTGTTTATTTCTATTAGGCTGCTCCTGATGATGTTGCTCCATGTCTTGTGTGGTCTTCCTCTTGCTCTGTATTCATTATATTTCTTCAGCGGGGCTCTCTGTGGCAGTTGGTAACCAGGGCATTCTCATCAGGTGGCCAAACCATATCATTCGTTGTTCTTTCATGAATTGTATGACTGGTTTCAGTCCCAGTCGTCTTCTAATTTCTTCATTCTTGATTTTTAATCTCTTTTTGTCACATTTTTCATCTCTGTAGCTATGATCTTCCGCTCGTTAGTTATGATAAGAGGCCATGTCTGCCACTGGTAGCCAATGTGGGCCAAAACATCGTTGTAATGAGATTTGCTTTGAATGACAGTGGTATCTTTCTATGCATCAAAAGGGGTGTTAATTGTCACATAACCTGATTTGTTTTCACATACTGTATGTTGATTTCTCTATCCATTCTTCTATCTAGATATTTAAATTTGCTTGTTTGTTTTATTTCTGTCTTATTTACTTTAATTGATATGGTTTCTTCTTGTCTACCTATTACCATTGTCTCTGTCATATCAATGCTTATCCTCATAATACATTTCTCACACTTAGTACTGACTTGGTTTATATGGTTCTGTAAACTCTCTTGTTTCATCTATTATTACATGGTCGTCTGCAAATAACAATTTTGAGATATCATCCTTTTCTTCGCTTTCTGCTTCTTTGCATGTATTGTCGATGTATGTTATAAAACGCAGGTAAGACACATCCCTGTCTTACTCCTGAATTTACTTTAAAAGGTTGTGATATACCTGCTTTTGTTAGTATGCAACTTTTACTTGATGTATATAAGCTCTTTTACAGTTAGATGTTTGCTGATTCCATATCTTCTTAAGCAATTCCACAACATATCCCTATCCACTCTGTCAAATATTTTTTCCTGCGTTCTTTCGGACTCAAAGAGTTAAAAGCAATCTAGGCTCTCAGTTGTACCCATTGCAAAAGAGGCCTAGGATATGGTGTGGGAAGGAAGGCTTTTTTTTCCCCCTGGCAGTCTGCCTATTGGTCTCACTATCTAGAAAAGTGTTACAACTCAAACTGTATACTGTAAGAGGTGATGATTTCATTTGCGAAAAACCCTCCCATTAACTGCTCCAGCACCTTTTTTTTATATTTTATAGACATCATTTTGTTTCATCAGCACTTTTTTATGGAGCACTGCTACCTTTGTAAAGACACTTTTTTGTGTGAGTACTAGCACCTTTTTATCTAGTATAGAGCCCTACCTGGTGGTAAATGTAATGACATGATATCTAGCATGACTACCTATAAAATGCCATTTGATCTACAACAGTGCGTCCAAATTATCCAAGACCTGTGGACAAGTCTTACTGATGAAGGTCTGCCATGGAGCATATACATTTTAATAGTCATACTCCCTCGTGTGGGTTCCGGGGCCCTATTATTGGGAAAACAAGAATAGACCCACTGCCTACCCAAAAGCATGTCGTAAGAGTCGACTAATTGGGGAGCTTCCTTTGAAGTCGGAGTGCATCTGCCTGAGAGGCAAGGAACCAGCAGTCTGCACACAAATGAGTCAGATCTGTCAAACGGATGCACACACAGCACTCAGGTTTTGGAACAGGACTGCAGTCCAGAAGTGGATGAACAACCAGAACTTTCCACCAGAGTTTACAGCTGGTGACCGCAAAGAAGAAGAAGAAGAAGAATAGTCATACTGACGACTTAATTTAATTTATAAATATCATAACTACAAACAGGACAGCATTCTAAAGCTAAAGTTCTTTTCACAAATTATGTGACAAATTTTTAAAGTAATGTATATAGTTTAACTCTTTGAGTCCCAAGGAACGCATCATACGTTCATAGGTTCCTACCTAGAAGCCCAATGAACGCATGATGCGCCAATTTTATGACTCTCTTTACTACTCCCTGGGCCTGTGACGTTAAACCCCCTGGGACTCAAAGAGTTAAGTTATAATTCTTGCATTTCTAAGGGATATAAGTCATATAAAAGAAAGCTTACATTTGTAAATACCAAAGTTGGTGCCCTTCATTTGAAACAAACTGGACAGGGAAGATGGGATGCGAGAGAGCGAGCAAGACAGCGAGGCCGACAGACAGACAGAAACATGGATAAAGAGAGATGGAAAGATTACTCAGAATAAATACTATCACTTTTGTTTTTCATGCCATTAGTAATCAAAATAATTCCAGTTGTTCTCTCCAGTGAAACAGAGTTTGGTAATGATAATCCAACATTCATTCTTGGCAGGCTTGTCAGGGGCGAAGAAATTAATCCACTGAGCTGTAACTCTTGTTTCTTCTTCGTGTTCACAGGCTGTGATCTGCAGTGCAAAGGTGTGGTTGTTCAACCCCTTCTTGACTTTTGTCTTTTTCAGTCGTTGGTCTCCATTCCCAGAATGTGAGCTTTGCATGCACATCTGTTTTACAGATCTGGCTTTATTTACAGACTGTTGGTTCCTTGCCAATCAGGTGGATGCATTCTGACCAAGAGGGAAACTCCCCTAATTAGTCGCCTTCAAGAACGTGCTTATTAGTGGGAAAGTGGGTATATTCTTTTTTTTTCCTCTCCAAATAAGGTGGTTCATAGAACCCACAGGAGGAGAACTGTGGCTAAGAAGCTGAAACAAGAGAAAGGGGAAAACACACACATAAAATGAGATGTTTCAGCAGGAGCATTTATCAACAAAAAAACCACAACAACAATAAAGGCTCCTGCCAAAATGTCTGATTATTTTGTGTATATGTATGTTGTTCCCTTCTCCCCTTCTTTAAGCTTCGCAGTCACAATTCAGTGAATTAATTTCTTGGTATTAGCTTGATTACAGTCGCCCCTTTTCCAATACTTCTCAGTGGTGACTGCAATACTTTGGTGCTGACTACTTACAGCCGCCCTAGAAACTGATGTAGCTCTCATAAAAGTCTGGAGTCATCATCAGGTTTCATCAGAAGGAAGACCATGGTTACCTGTCCCTTCATTAGCACTTTACATGTCAGCCTAAAAGGATTCATTTGTTATCTAATCTATTTATTTATATGGCATGCACATGACAAGATATTGCAAAATATGTCAGGCAATAAATTGTGTTATCTGTAGTTGTTGTTTTGTTGTTGTTGTTTTCTTTATCTTTTTCTCTTTCAGATTAAACTGTGTCAACACAGTCAATGTCTGGGTCTACCCCACATAAAGTATGAAGACTGTACTCACCCTTTTGTCAGCATAGGCCAGCCACCTATCCCCCAATGCTATTGGATTCACCTTTGGCCCAGGACAAGGGTAACAACCTGAAAGAAGGGAAATCATTTTCAAATCACCATTCCTTGTTATCCGCTAGCGATTTAACACTTTTGTCCACAGAAGACATAATCGACAGTTCGAGTGTGTGTCACACACTTGTAAATATTAATTTACTGACTCTGTTACTGTTGCTTGCTCATGACAAGTCAAGTTACCAGAACTAATATTGATTGTGCCTGCGCAGAAGTTCAGAAGCACTGATAATGATTATATTTGCTAGAAAGAGTATTTATGTGAGATCCCAAAATACAGATCACTGGCAATTTTTTTCTAGGTCATTGAGGCAACAGGTTAGCTCAGCCTGAAAACATCTTTCTCTACCCCTCATACATCAGCAACAGTAAGGATGCAATTATCATTACAAATAAAACAATCAAAAACAGTGTTTGAACATCTATTATTATAGAAAGAATGTTCCTAACAACAATAACAAAATTCTTTCAGCTCCATAAGCAGAATTGTTCCTAAAAAAATTAATGCTTTTAGCTCACTAAATAGAATCATTTGTCACAAAATGTGTGCTTTTGGCTTTTTTAGTAGAATTATTTTTCACAAAATTAATGCACATAACTACTTAGTAGACTGTTCACAAACTTAATGATTTTAGCTCATCAAGTAGAATTATTTTTCACAAAATTAATGCACATAGCTACTAAGTAGACTGTTCACAAAATTAATTATTTTAGCTCATTAAGTAGAATTATTTTCTCACTAAATTATTGCTAATTAGTCAAATGTTTCTCAAGAAAATTAATGCTTGTAGCTCACTTAGCAGAATTATAACAATTATAGTTTTTTTAAATCTCAAGTACAATTACTTATGATAACTTCAACTCTTTAAGTACTAATAAATAGATCATGCATTAATTTATCTTAATTTAATTGTCCTCAAGTACTGAAAGAGTCAATGCATTCAGCTTATTAAATATAATCTTTAATGCATTGAAGACATTAAATATTATTATTCCTTATAACTTCAATACCTTTAGCTTCTTCTTCTTCTTCAGCATTCCGAGCCCTTGGGGTTCATTGCTGCAGATATCACCCGCCTCCATTCATCTCTCTGGTTGGCTTTCTCTTTCCAGTTGGTGACACCAAATGTTTGCAGGTCTGTCTGGATATTATCACACCGTGGTCTTCTTGGTCTGCCTCGTGGTCTATGACCATTCATCTCCCTTGTGTATATAGTTTTTACTTCAGTGTCATCTGACATTTTTTCAATATATCCTAACCATTTAAGTCTATTTGTGATTTTTTAGCCTATTAAATTTAAATACTCATTATAGCTGTATTGCTTTTAGCTCTTTAAATATAATTATTCCTTAAAACTTTATTGCTTTTAGCCCATTAAATATAATTATTCCTTACAACTTTAATGAGTTTAGCACATTAAATATAATTTATCCTTATAATAGCTATGCTTTTAGCTCTTTAAATATAATTATTCCTTATAACTTTAATGATTTTAGCACATTAAATATAATTATTCCTTATAACAGCTATGCTTTTAGCTCTTTAAATATAATTACTCCTCAAAACTGTAATTTGTTATGCTTTTAGCTCTTTAAATATAATTACTCTTTATAACTTTAATGCCTTTAGCTCATTGAATATAAATACTCCTTACAACTGTAATGGTCTCTTAACTTTAAGTTACCTGTAATGATAGACTTGTTATACAACAAATTTAAAATCTACTAGAACATCTATTAGAGAACAACTAACAATAAGTATGCTTCCTCCCCGTGTGGGTTCCAGGGTCCCACTGTGGAGGGGAAAAAAATAGACCTACTGTCTTCATAATAAGCATATCATACAAGGCACTAATTAGGAATGTTTCCTTCTCAGGTGGAGTACATCTGCCTCAGAGGCCAGGAACCAACAGTCTGCCTACACAAACATCATGTCTGTAAAATGGATGTGCATGCTAAACTCAAATTCTGAGACGACTAATGTCTAGAAGGGGATGAACAACCAGAACCTTCTGCCGGGGTTTACAGACGGTAAACACTAAGTAGAAGAAAAACACTCTTCCCCCCCCATATCTAACACTAATGCACAGTGTGATGGTTACCTATAATCCAATGTAGCTGCCGTAGTCGACAAGCATCAAACACAGCCAGCTTCTCTTGAAACACCATCACAATGAATCTTTGATAGCAAGATCGTCAATGATTTATTAATCAGTGAGATAATCAACTAGACATTATACAACAAGATAATCAAGATGACCTAAACATTATATAAGCAATACAAGGAACTAGACATTATTTAGCAACATTACCAGCTGGCCACTATCCAGCAAGATATTTAACTTTTTATTTATAGTAATATAACTAACTAGAAATTATACAGCAAGATAATAAACTAGACATTATAAGACTTGATCATGAATTAGACATTATTAAAAGACTTGATCATGAATTAGACATTATATAGCCAGATAATCAACTAAACCAATGGTTCTCAATTAGTTAAGACCTGTTACCCCTAGAATTTTCTCTAATGGTCTGCCACTGACCCCTCACATTTTACTAGTCATATATAAAAAAAAAAAAAGAGAAAATATATAGTATAAACCAGATTAAAGAAAATCATTTAGCTGCTGAACAGTAGTCTTTGTCGTTTCCACCCTGTCACAGTAGTAAGACAGAATTGGCGTGGTAGTAGCAAGACAGAATATGTGTGGTAGTAGCAAGACAGAACATGTGTGGTAGTAGCAAGACAGAATATGTGTGGTAGTAGCAAGACAGAATATGTGTGGTAGTAGCAAGACAGAACATGTGTGGTAGTAGCAAGACAGAATATGTGTGGTAGTAGCAAGACAGAACATGCGTGGTAGTAGCAAGACAGAATATGTGTGGTAGTAGCAAGACAGAATATGTGTGGTAGTAGCAAGACAGAATATGTGTGGTAGTAGCAAGACAGAACATGTGTGGTAGTAGCAAGACAGAATATGTGTGGTAGTAGCAAGACAGAATATGTGTGGTAGTAGCAAGACAGAATATGTGTGGTAGTAGCAAGACAGAATATGTGTGGTAGTAGCAAGACAGAATATGTGTGGTAGTAGCAAGACAGAACATGTGTGGTAGTAGCAAGACAGAATATGTGTGGTAGTAGCAAGACAGAATATGTGTGGTAGTAGCAAGACAGAATATGTTTGGTAGTAGCAAGACAGAATATGTGTGGTAGTAGCAAGACAGAATATGTGTGGTAGTAGCAAGACAGAATATGTGTGGTAGTAGCAAGACAGAACATGCGTGGTAGTAGCAAGACAGAACATGCGTGGTAATAGCAAGACAGAACATGCGTGGTAGTAGCAAGACAGAACATGCGTGGTAGTAGCAAGACAGAACATGCATGGTAGTAGCAAGACAGAATATGTGTGGTAGTAGCAAGACAGAACATGCGTGGTAGTAGCAAGACAGAATATGTGTGGTAGTAGCAAGACAAAATATGTGTGGTAGTAGCAAGACAGAATATGCGTGGTATTAGCAAGACAGAATATGTGTGGTAGTAGCAAGACAGAATATGCGTGGTAGTAGCAAGACAGAACATGTGTGGTAGTAGCAAGACAGAATATGTGTGGTAGTAGCAAGACAGAACATGTGTGGTAGTACTGGTTTCATTTAGATAAAAAATACATCTGAGGGCTGGTATTATAAATAATATCATAAATGTGTTCTGCTGACCCCAGGGTGTCTGCAGACCACCACTTGAGAACTACTGGACTAAACATTACATATTCAGCTGTAATTCATACTATACCAAGCAACACACCAGACAATGATGAGCTGCACCCAACATGAAACACTAGGATTTTTTTTTAAACTCTGTTAAACCAATGCTGAGTGTTCAGCTGAGAACTGACATCATAGCACCTGGGACATTCCCATAAGTGCACCATCCTTATCTTCAGCAGCCAGTGAAAAGTTCCAATTGTGATGGTGCTAGTAGCAGTTTAAATAAATGTCCATCTTGCTTTTCTCCTGAGTGTAGAGTATTGACAAAATCTCCTGGTCACTCCCAGCTGTACCATTTTCTCCAGACCATAATGATCTATACGTCCCTCCGCATTGTTCACATGCTCCAAAAGGGCTTTGACCACATCTAACCTGCCATACATAAATTCACTACCTAGTGGTGAAAACCTGCCAATATTTCAGCTAGTTCATTTCCCTAGACCCTGGCAAAAATATCCAAAGAATAATAACTACCCGGGACCTCTGAAGCGATGCTTGGTACTCTGCATGTAGCATACCTGTCTCCACCTTTCTCAACTCTTTTGAGTCCCAGGATGTTTTAGCATCAGAGGCCCAAAAGTAGTCAAAAGAGATGTAAAATCGGTGCATCTTGCATTAATTGGACCTCTGATCAGGAACCTATGAACGAATGATGTGTTCCTTGGGACTCAAAGAGTTAACATGCTTTGTCAGTTGGTTACCATGACAACAATTATGTACAGCTGGTTCTCAAGCCCACATAAATTTGCTGTCCCTGCCTCCACCTCCACCCTCAAACTATATGTGTGGTGAATACCTTCAGATGGATTTGTCAAGCAGAAAGAGGCTGACTACAGCAATAAAGGTAACAAATAATGCCTATGGGATCACATAGCAAATTTAGAGTCTGTAAAAAATGGATACGTTTTTCAACACTATAAAAGTAAAAAGGACCCTTTTCCATGCCTTTAGGCGTATGGGGCATACAGGGCTAGAACTATTATTTTTATAGACCAAACAGCACAAGAAGGCTGATGTGGTCAGCACTTAGCTGGCCACCTTTACTTCCCGGGACTGCATTCGGTACCCACTCAAGGCTGGGTCAACCTGGAAGTCAAGGTCATTTTTGAAAAACCCATGACCTTCCGATCCGCACGCGAGCATGTAGCTGCTACGCCATGGATACTCCCTTTCAACAATATACAAAATTAAAAATCACAATCACAATAGGGAAAATAGTTTGAGTATATTATAAATAATGTTTTTTTTAAGGTGTAACTTTATTGCATCAGGTTTAATCTTGGTCTCTCACCATAAAATGGCTGTATGTATTCAATCCATGTCAAGATAATGTTAACTTTTTATTTAAATAAATATATACTACAATCACCTTTTATTGCATTCAATATTCTGAACTTGCAATGTTTTGAAAGACACACTATGAACATCATCTCCTGTGCGCAGAGATACAAACTTCACGCCACAGAAAGCCTTCCCAGCACTGAAATGTTGAGAAAATATATCGAGAAACATTTAATCATAACACTGTACTTGGCAATGTAAAGAGAAGTCATAAAAGAATTGTATATATATATATATATATATATATATATATAGCATATATATACATCGCTATAAATATATATTATATATATATATATATATATATGGCCTACGATCCCATATTTCAATATATCTATATATATATTATATATAATACACAACACACAATATACATATATTTATAAACCCAGCTGACAGAAGTATTAAGACATTCAAACATTAACAGCGCCAAGAAAGAAAGACATAAACAAAAAAGCAGACAAGTGGTTTCAGTCCAAAAATGTGCTCGCAATGCCAGACTTGGACATTACTAAAAGCTAAACTAGGTAAAATTAACACTTGTGAAATGAGGATGCCTGAGAAAAGCTGCCAACTTAACCATCTGAGACAAAGTTAGAAATGATATTATCAGAATGTAGGAACAACACCATGCAGCAAATTCACTGAGAAACAGAAGGGTTTGGTAATCTAGTAAGAATTCATCATAACAACTACCAATCAGGCACTACAAAGAGATCTGATATGAAAGCAAGAGGCCACCCTAGAACAGGGTTATACAACTGGTGCCCCGCAAAGACCTGTTAATAGTCTGTGCCGGCTGAGACTTATGGACGCAAGCGGCACCACACTCTCACTATCAAATTTGTATTTTGTATTAATGATCTTTCTATGCTGGGGCTTGGCTCTCTGGCCTGTGACGATCCCAATTTTCAACTCGTCTGCCCCTGAGTAAACAGCATTAAATATATAATAAACAAACAGACAATGTATTGATCAGCACTCATAGAAAGAAGTAGAAAGATAGAAGGACACACTAACAGCATTTAGCAGAAAAAGACAATGGAAAAAGAGACAAGTGGTTTCAGTCCTCTATTTCTTCTAATTGTATCCCTTCTTGCTACCCACGCAGCTCCTCTGAGAAACTACATAACTTTAAAGTCTAACCTAGAGGAGTCACAGATGGCAGCAATTGGTCTTTTAGCTTGAAAGTCATCATCCGTGGTACCTGGCGTAGGTAGAATGCGTAAACAGGACACAGGATTCTGTCGCAGAGACAGGACTTCTAATGCCTCACTTACAGAGTGTGCTGTTGTGAATGAAAACTTCTTATTTCAATTCTATGTGTTCTTGTGACTCAGTTTTAGCTGTGTTGAATTCAACAAAAAATGTGTGATAGAAAGATCTAAACCACAATTATAACTACACATGTATGCTATTATAAGAAAGCTGAGTTATCACTTTCACTTTTAATGTATGAAGAAATTTCCACACAAAAATCAAAGTATTGTTATGGATAATAGTCTATGTGGTAAACTGACTTTTTATGGATGAAAACCTCCAACATATTCTCTCTTTCTTCCTGGTTAATTCAGTATTTTTTGGTTTGTATGTAACTCTGTGTGTGTGTTTGTGTGTGCAGGTGCGCGCGCGCACGAGGATGCATGCGTGTGTGTGTGCATGCGCTCGCCCAGTTTAATACAAAGCTCTTTTATTTGTGTCTATGGTCAACATATCTGACTACTTTGGATATTAGCTAAATGGGTCAGCTTCTATTTGAACTTACCTTACAGTGTGGTTCAGGCAATGTGATATATTGTATTTTTCTGTGTTATAAAGAGCAAAATAAGTTTTAACTCAGCCAAATATTTACAGTAAGTTGATCTAAAAGAGGGACAAAGACAGGATACATGGAACATGTTGCAATGAAAATGTATAATAAAGGGGAGGTACAAGCCACTGATCCACCTCATGAATGGTGTCCTTGATATAAGACGGCCCTCACTAACAGCCTCAATATGCAAAAACGATCGCCTGCCTGGGTCTCCAGTACTAGTATCCCCCAGCAGCCACCTCACAATTCAGGCGGACCCAGTTACCTGACTGACTCTGCCCTCTGGACCATCCACACCCCTTTCCCCATGACACAAAGTGCCAAATGTGGACACTATGCCGTGGAGAGGTCTAGCAGTCGCAGCTAGTTGGTCTGCCGATGCTCATAAAGTAAATGTGGGGACATAAAATAAACAAAATGTGTCCTAAACACAAGCAGGTTGAGCTGGAAGGTGCAGCTAGGATAGAGTTTCACGGTACACCTTCGTCTGGGGTTCGTAAAATTATGTGTCGCTAAGTTGTTTTTCTTCCCCTCCTGCGCTAGGATAGAGTTACAGTACAATGAGCCTGCAGCTAGGATAGAGTTACGGTACACTGAGCCTGCAACTAAGATAGAGTTACGGTACACTGAGCCTGCAGCTAGGATGGAGTTGCAGTACACTAAGCTTACAGAGTGGCCGCCCTGGACCGTAATATCTCCTGAAGGAGAGTATACTGGTCGCTAAAGGGACGTGCTGGGTCATATAACCTGAGCTGAAGTTGCCCATTACTGAAGGACCGATCACTCTGATATGTGAAGGCCCTTACTCTGGACCGATAACCCGGATGTGGACGGAGGGAGGTATACAGACCACCCGGTTATCAGCACCTGCGGAAGGTTGGGAGCAGAAGAAAGTAGGAGGGGTGGGACGAAGTTTGGTCAATTTATTGTGCTTGGCAGTAGACAGACATAGATATAATTGGTGGTTGGGACTGTTGATATTACACCATATGATACAATAAAGGAAGTAATTTTGAGAGGTTTGCTGGAGTACATGTCTATCCAGGTAAGGTGATGCGCAATCTGAATTTGAACCATTGCTACACATGAATTATCAACAATAAAGGAGGTAATTTTGAGAGGTAACTGGGGTAAACATCTATCCAGGTAGGCAACACACAATATGAGTTCGGACAACTGCACTACAAAGTGATTATCAACAATAAAGGAAGTAATTAACTAATTACACATCATGACATACACATGTATACATTCACAAGGCTCAGCATTTGGACCAGGAATCATCTCTTACTGTGATTAACCAGACTTGGACCCCGTCAGCATAGCCCAACACAGCCACAAGCGGTTGTGTCTTCTGATCCATACCCTGAAGGTTGGGGTTAGACTGTAGATCTGCAAAATATGATCAACTCTTTGAGGCCTGACCAATGCCCAAACAACACTTTCTAGGTTGATCGTGTATCCCATACGTACCGATCTGCATAATTTTTCAGAACTACCATTAAAGTATTCAGGGAAGACTACTCTAATGTTATATTTTGTATACAAGTCTTTGTTCACGTTATTTTGGGCAAAAATTGATCCCAATCTGTGCTAGCATCATTTTCAGACAGTGTATTTTCCAATTAAGTGTTTGAATGGACATTGATACAAATTTTCCAACCACAAGTAGAGGCTGCAAAATACATCTATCTGCAGTTAAAGCTCTGAACTTGTTTCAATCAGATGCTTTCAATTTTGATAAAAAATAAGTAAAGTATAGGTCCCTTTTCCAGGCCTTTAGGTGTATTGGGAATATAGGGCTAGACCTTTATTTTTATAGACCAATCGGCACTTGGTGGGTGATGTGGTCAGCATCATGCCAGCTACCTTTACTTCCCAGAACTGCACCTGGTACCCGCTGAAGGCTGGGTTGGCCTGGGAGTCAAGGTCATTTTTGAAAAAAAGTCAGCTCCGTCAGGGAGCGAATCCACGACCATCTAATCCACAGGCGGGCATCTAGCCGCGGAAGCCACGGCAACTCCCAATTTTGATAATGATAATGAAAATATCAATTTTTCGGAAAGTTATTCAGACAGTGAAATTACACCAGTAGTATCTGAGTGGTCAGCTGTTAATTTAAATGAGGTTAAACCCAGGAGGACCCATTTTATTTGTGAAGGATATGATAGCCACCAACATCTGCATTCAAAGAACTGTTTCAGACAGTGCACTGCAGTTACAGTCTGAATAAAACTGTACAAAGTTAATATTTTGCGTAAATAGGTCCAATTGTCAGTCAGTCTATTTCTCTGAAATTTGATTCAGCACTCTATCAGAACAAAGAGCCTGTGAGTGATAAACTAACCTAGAAATGTATCATAACTTTTGAATTTGTTAGGAAAGTGAACAAACTTTTCAGTGTTATTCTCAAATTTGGATATTCAATGCTTTTTGGCTGCAAAACCATGGATAGCGAAGGTTTTTTTTTTTTTTTTTTTTTTTTTTTTTTTTTAACAAAGTTTTGTAATTGTAAACATAATATCTGCTGAATTCTTGTGTCATACTAAATATAACAATATTAAACAAAAATATATCATCAGCTTCAAAATGTACATTTATTCCTCTTTTAAAAATGTATACTTTTGTAGGGATTATAAATATATAACATTCAGAACTTTTTTTTTTTAAACACCACCCCCTTCTGCCATTTTTTTTGTAAGGGGAAATAATGTAAGGCAAGTCTGTCAAAATTCATAGGCCTGAAAGAGTAAGTCAAACAGATGGCATCTACACAATGAAGGCTGGTTGCAAGGGATCCTAAACACCCTTAATCTCTCATCCTGGCCGGACACTGTCAAAGGCGCTGTTTCTTAATCTCTTAATGTTATTTTAACACTTGTAGCACTGCCTTGCTTACCCGTCTCAAAGTGGGGAATGTATTCCATTTAATGCTTCACTCTGTTCATTGGTTGTTTTTTTTTAAAACAATATAACATGACACGTCAGATCCTGAAATCTCATGCACTTATTGTGAAAGAATATTCCTATTGCCAGCTGGTCTTGTCAGTCGCACTCACAATCATCATGGGCAGTGGTTCCCATCTCTCCATACAACAAATTCCTTTTGATGAAAACTCAAACTCCTGACCACTGGGACAAGAGGTGAGCATGCTAGCCCCTGTACTACTACAGCTCCCAGTATAACAAAGGAAACATCCAGTGTAACAGAAGTAAGCGAAGTGATTACCTCTTTCAGTTAAATGAAATGCTTGGTCAGAAAATACTAAGAAATCTGACCTCCACCTATGGTCACTATAACTGTGTGTACTGATACTTGAAAAGTAATGCATTCATGAATGTTCATCATGATTATTTCTTTACTCTGATACCTCTATAGCGGATAGGAAAAATAATAGCAGAAGGCATGGTGCCAGGAAGGAGGGGCAAGGGCCGACCAACACGCAGATGGGCACAGGACACAAGTGACTCTTTGAATATGAATGTAAATGTGGCAGGACAGCTGGGAGAGACAGAGTTTCTGTCAGGCAGATCATGATGAGAGTGAAATCCTGCAAAGGACCTGCGACATGATGATGATGATGATACCTCCTGTGAGGCCTTCTGGTATGGAAAGAGTTAAAGGATCTTACAAACCAATGGACATAGGGTGCTAAATTCATACTTTTATAAACCCACCTGCATTCAAAAGGTGATCTGTCAACATCTGCCCCCTTTAATTCCCAGGACATTTTGTAACACCCAATCTAGTTTAAAGCAAGTATTTAAATGACTCATGAACCCAGAGAACTGCAGACAGAAAATGCACTGGAAAAGTTAAAAGTGAAATAACCCAAGCAGAAATTCACAGAACAAAAAAAAATAATATTTTTTTAAATGACATTGACTCCCAGGTTGACCCAGCCTTGAGTGGGTACCAGGTGCAGTCCTGGGAAGTAAAGGCAGCCAATATGAGTGGGTACCAGGTGCAGTCCTGGGAAGTAAAGGCAGCCAATATGAGTGGGTACCAGGTGCAGTCCTGGGAAGTAAAGGCACCCAATATGAGTGGGTACCAGGTGCAGTCCTGGGAAGTAAGGGCACCCAACATAATGCTGACCACATCACCCACCAAATGCCGATTGGTCTATAAAAATATAGGTCTAGCCCTATATTCCCAATATGTCTAAAGGCATAAAAAAAGGGACCTTTACTTTACTAATATGTATGTGCCAATTAAAGTGAAAAAGATCATTCTTAAGAGCTGTATAAATCCCTTTATAATTTATGAAAGTGAATCATGGACAGTAGATTACAGAGAATTATCTGGATCAAGCTATGATTTTAGAGCTGATCTGGGAAATTTTACTCACCATTAACGTCACAGTTTTCAAATCGAATCCAAGTGATTTTCTCCTTATCCTCAGTCTTTGGGCTGGTACTGGAGTATGCTTGTGGGACTACATCAGTGATGAAGTCAAAGACACTTTCAGCAACTGTCTTGTCACTGCAGAATGTACAATAACATAAAGACATGAAGGACACATTAAAAAAAGGACCTTTTTCCCACGCCTTTCAAGCATATTGGTTATATACCTACCTATATTTTACTGACCAAACAACACTTGGTGGGTGATGTGGTCAGCATCACGCCGGCATGAAGGACACATAGTGATGGAAATAATAGAAGCGAAAGCTTATAGGTAATGAGAATAGATGAAGCACAATTTATTTAGGAATGAAAATACCTGAAGCAGAATTAACTTGACTGAGCTGAGATGATTCAAGAACTGACATCACAGACCTTGGAGAATTCCCATAAGTGCTCCGTCCCCATCTTCAGCAGCTAGCTCAGAGTTCCAATATACCAATGGTGCCAGTAGCATTCTGACTGTATGTCTGTCTTGCCTTTCCTCTGAGCATCAAGCCTCAGCCAGATCACCTTGTCACTCCTCGCTGCATCACTCTCACCAGACTGTGGTGATCTACTTGCTCCTCCAAATTGTACACGTTCTCCTACTAGGCCTAAACCGTGTCTGCCTTATAATACATCAATCTGTTCCAACCACACTGAAGACAAAACTGTATGGTACACGAGAGGATATGGATTGCACGATAGCTTTCATAAAGGCTACCGGCCTCCTGATATAAGTTTTCTGACAGAAGGACCGAAGAAGAAGATACATCAATATTCCACCAAGTTGTGCATAACCAGCCAGTCTGTCCACCTGTTCATTTTCCAACATACTGGCATGACACCAAAGAAAAGATCTAGAAAATGCTCCTCATGCAAGATTCCCCCCCCCCCCCCCCCCAAATGTTTAATATAAATCTTTTTTTTTTAAATAACCTCATAACTTTATAATGGTAAGTCAGTCTGCTGGTGTAAATTAAGGATGAGAAGAAGCAGAATTTCTATGGCAATGAAATTTGCAATAGTTCATTCTAAGAAAAAAAAAAGGAAAAATGATGACCTCGTTCAACCTACTCCTTGGGAGTCGGTTGAGGCAAGGGGAAAAAGTTAAAGCAAAATGTAAATGATGTTGGGAATAACTAAAGCACAGTAAGGGAATGACAATAGTTGAGCAAAATTTATTATTTACAGTAACATCTGGAGTAAGACTGCTCTGTCAAATCACACCTGTGTATCCCCTACACAGACACTATAAGCAAAAATTTCAAGCCTGGGAATGAAAATATTTACTATCTCAATGAAATACTCTTTGCTGATGACCAGACCTTGAGAGCTGATTCAGTTGTAAAACTGTAAAATCTCCCATCCACTCCTGTTTATTACCTACACTGACAGTATAGGAAACAAAGTCAAACCTAGAAATGAAAAAAAAATTAGTAACATCAATCAACTACTATTTGTTGATGCAGAGGCCTTGGCAGTTGATTTAGCTGAGAAATTGCAACCTATTCTTCACATTCACTGGCTGTAAACTCCAGCAGAAATTTCTCATTGTTCATTCACCTCTGGACTTGAGTCTTGTTTCAGAATCTGGGAGGCTTGTAGTGTTCCTGTTGTCACTGGACTCTTTGCTTTCCTGTAGGAATCCAGCAGTCATCTTTATCTGATAGAGTTTCTGTGAGTTTAAAATATAGATATCTATCTGTCTTCATTCTCAGATCAACAGCACCATTTAGTTGTATCTTTTGTGTATGCACAATATTATTCAAAGCCACCCTACTAGAGGCATGATCACATGTTAGATTCGGTTGCTGAGATGTTCACATTCTTACTTTTATGTGTACCTTTTATCCATTTCCTTAACACCTAGCCACATTCCAACAATTTTTTTACTCTGCCCCATCCAGCACTTTACTTCTACTAATACAATAGGTTTATCTTTTGCCTACCTGGATTATCTATAAAAGGGATACCTAATTTGAAGCCATATTAAGTAAGTATGATATAGTTCACTTTTATGTATGCTGTGCTCTGATTCTTGCCGTTCCGTTTAACCTAATTGTCGCAAACTTCATCTGTTTGTTTATTGTAGGTGGTTTTGTAAAGCAAACATAAACTAAATAATGTTGTTCTTTCGATGTTCTGTCTTTTATCTTCCCTGCCCTTCAGTAACTTTTACTGTCTGTTTTAGGTTTTTTTTATCAATCGCTTTTTAAATCCGCTTTGTGTTACATTAATAAGAGATTTGAACTCTGCGCTGGCTGCTGAAGATTAGGACTGAGCATGTATGGGAATGCCCCAAGTGCTGTGATGTCAATTCTTGACTCAACTCAACTAATAAGGGGTTTATGGTTGATGATTATCTTATTCTTTTTACTATATCAAAGGAGGTAACAATAATATATATGGATATGTTATAACAAACTTATAAAGTCGATAAAGCTAAGAGGTCAAAAAAAACAGAATACAGTAAATTCACCACCAATGACAATGTAAACATTTTAAAGTTGGACTAGATTCGGCAATTACCTAAATGCATGCGGACGAACAACATTACAGCTGTATTTAGACGTCTTTCGGGGCGATTCTGCTGCCATAATGACAGTGAACAAGGAGAAGAAATTGCAATGTTCGTGCTTGAAAATGTTCACAAGTTCTGTGTCAGCTTTTGTTTACAACACACAGGAAGTTGACGTCATTGTTGTTTTTATTACCGGAATAATTCTTTCACAATAGACAAGAGAGTTCCACTATAAGGGAGGTAAATGTTGAACGTTGAATTAGGAATCCACATCACAAAACTCGGGAAACACCCATAAGTGCAAGAGCAAGAGTTCCAATTCTGATGGCACCACTAACCGTCTGATTGTTTATACGTCTCAGTCTTCCTCTGAGCGTTGAGCATCGATCAGATCCCTTGTTAACTCCCCGCAGCGTAATTCTCCTCAGACCGTAATTATCTATTTGCGCCTCCGCAATGTTCACTCGTTTCCAAAGGGCCCTTACAATATCTAGCTTGTCATACATCAATTCACCAGCAACTGGCACAGAGATTATCATTTCCCTTCCTTTTTAGGATGACATTTTTCGTTATTTGAAGCCCTACTCTGGCTCCTGCCAGGGGCCGCAATATATCCTGGCCATAAATATGGCCTAATGGCTGAACGCGGTTCCTGGGACCTCTCCACGGTGATCCTCACACACATGGTGGCACATTGTGTCATCGGGTGTTTATGGCTTGTGTGATGTCCTGGTGGGGTAAAAAGTCAGTCAGTCAGTCAACTGGTACAGAGCTGGTCAGTATCTGATTGCTCATTTTTCAACACACAAGCATCCCCTGGAGAAAATATCCAAAGGATGCTAACTACCCGGGACCTTTGAAGTGATGCTTGCCTCTCTGCACAAAGTATGCCCTTCTTCACATTTCTCAACCTACTCTGCGAGTCGGTTACAATTACAGCATGTGTGTACAGCTGATTCGCTAGCCAGCGAAAGGTAACAGAGATTACCTCCATCCTCCATTCGCAAACTAGACATTTTGATATCATATGCAAGGCTTTGCTGCACTAAATGACATCCATTTGCCTTTGCTATTAACCCCATGCACTTCGTCTGCCCCTCAACACAGAGCCATCTGTGTATATAATTACATCATTCGGGTGGAAATTGTCATGAATCATTTGTTGAACTTCTCATTCTGCAGCACTAGCTAGCCGATCTCTGCATTCACGACCTAAAGTAATTAGAACCCTTACTCAAGTCTTAAACTTGCTCGAACACCTTGACACACTCCTCTCCTCGCTCAAATTTATCAAGCCTGCACACATGTCCAATCGTGTCTTCAGCTTGCGACATCCAATACCTTCATCTTTTCAGTCTGTGACCCTTAGCTATAACCAGGGCTTCATGCAGGAGGTGATTCTTGTCTGCAGCCACTCTGAGATATGACTTTGCCTGCAGAACGTTGAGCCTATCTGCAATAGTAGGCAGTGCAAGTATATATCGCATACATAATACCCAGGTACCTCGATTTGCTTTTTCTTTTGATGTTACTGTTATTAATTGTGAGGCTTGGAACATTAGTTCTTGATATTCTATTGTCCAGAGAGCACCACAAAACAGCGGCCTTTTCTGAGTTGATAATATCGCCTATTTCTGCACACCAGTCAGTAACTTTGTCCACAGATGCCTGCAGCTTTTGGGCTATCCGTTGTCTATCTCCATTGCCTATATGCAAGAACATTATCAGCAAATGTCAATATCCTTACAACACCTGGTGCTTCAAATCCTGCAGTCTTGTTTTTATACATATTAAAGAGCACCGGTACAATTGCAAAACCCTGGGGTAGTCATGGGGCTATATGACATGGTTCTGAGGTTCATAAACCCAAGCGAAGGACAAGCATACGTGATTGCAGGACAGCTGCTATCTAGTTCACAAGCCAGGGACAAACCCCCTTCTCCGTGAGTACAGCTATCAAAATATCATATCTGACTCTATTGTAGGCATCCTCAGGATCAAGTGCTGCCACAACTGTCTCCTGTCTGTTCTGGAACCCTTCTTAAATATCAAAAGCAAAAGTAGCTGCAATGGACCATGTAGCTTTTCGTGGCCGGTAACTACAGAAACCTTTTGGCAGCAGCTCTTCCCTTTCCAAAAACATTTGTAGTTTAACAACAATAATCTTCTCTAGCCTCTTGCCAAAAGTATTTTGTAGGGTGATAATCCTGAAACTGCTGAGTCTGAAATGATCTTTGCCTGGTTTTGGTAGGGAGATCAGGTATTTGTGAAACCAATCCTGGGGTACTGACGCTGTTCTTATGCTCTGTTTGAAGTGTAATGCAATCTACCTCAAATCTTCATCAATCATGCTCTTCATACGGCATACCTCACTTCTACTGGTCCCGGCGCAGTGAGATTAGTGATTAGAAAGGATTATCATAACAGCACTTTGAACAGATCCATAAGTGCTCCGATCTCCTCATTAAAAACTCCATAAGTGTAAAACAACTGATGACGCCTGTTCTGTGTTGGTTAATGAAACGTCTTGTCCCGTTAGTGAAATTTGCATTTCTTGCAGCTCCAGGCTGCATTCCCGTCCATCAGTCTAGACAGGGATACGGAATCATGTCCTTTGGCGTGCTCCTCGTTACGGCAGAATTCAGCGCATGGCATTGATAACGTCACTTCTGTCCTGTACTGGGCCAGCCATAGCAAACGCGGTGTCTGCAAGATAGTCTGCACGCTCGTTCCCTTGAATACCTGCATGATCCGGCAAAAAGATGAAGGTTAGGGCAGATATTCGTGAAGTGCTTAGTGTTGCAATCCATTCTTGCCTGATAAATCCTGCTTGGATTCTTTTTAGCATATTCATCGAGTCACTAAGAATGCATACGTATGTGAACTTTTGAGTACCAATCCAATCTAAAGCCCTTGTTACAGCCGTAGTTTCCATTTAAGGCTACTAGTTGTAACAGCAAAGGCGCCATTCATCTCCTTGATGGTTTTTCCCCCTTGAGCTAACTGTGAATGCTCATGCACTTCGCTTGTCCCTAATTACTGACCCATCTGGTAACCTATAGCATAACCTTCATGTATGTTTTCGTCAATCAGTGTTCTGACTAAAGTGTGTTTTGCTTTTTGTAATACATATTTTATATCTTCCGCCATATATCCTGAAAATGATTATCATGTATAGAATTAAATTATCTCTATATGAATGTTTAAGCTTCCTATCATTATGATCGGTCTGGGGCTACACATCGTTTATTTACCTATCCGGCTTCGTCCTTTTTAGGATGACATTTTTTGTTATTTGAAGCCCCACCCTGGCTATTGCCATGGGCCGCAATATAGGCAGGCCATAAATATGGCCATTTATCTGAACGTGATTTCTGAGACCTCTCCACGGCGATCCTCATCCACATGGTGGCACTTTGTGTCATCGGGTGTTTATCGCTTGTGTGATGTCCTGGTGGGGTAGAAAGTCAGTCAGTCAGATCAGTCTGGGCTATAAATATCTTCAAAAATATTTCCCCTTTCTCTTTGTCTGTTGTCACTGGCATACATTGTCAGTGTCAAAAAGCCTTCTTGGGATAGGCCAATCCTTCCTTTGCTTCTGTCTGTGCACTTTCCAAATTCAACCCAGTGATTTATCCTCTCCAATTTCGCTTATAAAATGTTTCCATTTAGCCTTTTTTTTTTTATCTGATGCACAACGCTTGAACTCTTCAACTCTTTCTTTTCTAACCTTTTATAGTGTTTCTACATCCCTTTGTAATCTGCGAGGTGCCTTTTGCACTTTCAGCAATTGTTTAACTGCTGCTCGCTTTGCTCTCCGTACCTGTTCTATTTCTCTATTCCACGATGGAGGCTTCTTTGAGCCAACCAACATCGTCCCAAGGCAAGTGACAATCAGTGGAAACGTGTCTGGTTCAGTGACGAATCTGTCTTTTTGTTGCAGCGTCATGATAGACGGCATAGGGTCTACCGTAGAGGAAATGAAGGTTTAGCCCCAAATTGCGTTGATCAAGCTCTGCTACACGGTGGTGGAGGTGTAGTGGTATGGGGAATGATCAGTTACAACGGAAGGAGTCAACTGGTACACACTGAAGGAAGCTTGAATGCGCAATGATACATCTATGAGATTCTTCGACAATATGTCCTTCTATTTTGGGATGCCAACAGATATCTCTTTCAACAGGAAAACGACTGACCACGCAGTTCCTGGCTGCCAATAACATTTAAACCCTTGCCTAGCAATCCCTGTCTAAAGTCATGAGTCCAATTGAGCACCTGTGGGATGAGCTGCAAAGACGTATTTGTCGCCGAAACGTTGCTCCAGCCAATGGTCGTGATCTGTTCAAGGCACTTCAGGATGGACAGTCAGCCACACTACAGGCCCACATCAGACATCTGATCGCATCCATGCCCGGGAGATGCCAGTCACTGATTCACGCAAGAGGAAGCCACACACCATACTATCGGGAAAGGCCTACATTTAAAAACTATCCTGACCCAGATGCAAAAAAAAAAAAAAGGTGTCAATTGATTGGTGGAACCCTAAGTTATTCTTGTGTGAAATTTTAGTAATTTCGCTTTCTGCACTGCAAAGATGCAGAATGACAAAAGTGTGAGTATGTTTGTTCCTTTCAATAACTATGTGTTTCTGTTTGTTTTTGTTTACAGTATAATTGCTTGTTTAGTGTCCAGTTGCTGAGGAAAAGGGAAGGGAGGAGGGAATTAAAATATTAAAAACTAACCTTCAAACTTTATCATGGGAAGTCGGTCTGCAGGTGTAAATTAGGTTGCGATCTCGATAAGAAGAAGGAGAAAAAGAAGAAGTGTGTGTGTGTGTGAGTGGTGTGCGCGTGTGTGTGAGTTAGGGTGGGTGTGTAGTTAAGTGCACGTGTGGTGAGTACATATGTGAGCGCGTGAGTGTGTGTGTGAGTGTTCGCGTGTATATATGTGTGTGCGCGCGCCCGCAAGGGTGTGTGGTGTGAGAGGTTTGACAATACAATAAATTCATTTAGGTTTTTCTTAGTTAAGAACTTACTAAAAAGGGTGGGGAGAATAAACGGCTGGAGGATGTAACTA